ATGCTATGATACTTGAGGCACAGGACAAGGGAGGCCCTAAGTGTACTATGCTTTGATATTTGAGTTATTCTTTATTGTGCAATGTGATTATTTCTGTAAACCTCAGTTTTATAACAGTTTAATTACTAGAATAACACATCTTGCTATAAAATATTTATAGAAGATCAAATGAGCAGGTGACATTTATTGTTATTTTCTATAAATGAACACAATTTCTGGTATGCTAAAGTGACAGGTATTATAGAAATATTCAGCTAGGGAGACCTACAGGCTTGATTATAAGTGAGGCTTACTATCACAACCCAAATTTATTGCTAAAAAAAAAAAAAAAAAAAAAAAAATGCAGGGAGCCAACTAGAAACTGAACCAAATATAAGCCCTTGAAGGGAAAAACGTAAACTGGATAAGCTTCACTATTACAAGAGCAAGAAGAAAAAATTCAGATGCAAGAATGAAAACCACATTGCATCCACTCTAAGTAGCTGTTAAAGAAAAAGAATGGTATACTATGAAAATACTTAATATAGATTGTAAAGACATTTGTTCAAAGATGATTCCTAGAGTAGGTGACATTTCAGTTAATTTTTTAAAATGTGAAGAGGTTAGCTAGATAAGAAAAAGGTGTAGGGGTCCCAAATTGCAGAGGGTGCAGGCAGGGCTGAGGGATGCCCCTTCGTGCACGAATCTCCTGCACTGAGCCTCTAGTGTGTGTGTGTGTGCGCGCACGCGCGCGCATATATATATATATATATATATATATATATATATATATATATATGCATGCCTAAGAGACCTAACCACCGGCCAGTAGCTATGTTGAGCACTGACCACCAGGGGATAGACTCTCAATTCAGGACGCACACTGACCACCAGGGAAGTGCCGCTCAGCTGACTGACACACCAGACACTGGGCCACAGCTGGCGAGCACCTCCCACCTCTACAGCAGCCCAGTGGAGCCGGGATGAGTGGGAGTGGCTTTTAGTTTATCGATAAATAAAAACAGCCCTGTCCTAGTTGGGTTTGCTCAGTGGATAGAGCATTGGCCTGGGGACTGAAGGGTCTCTGGTTGGATTCTTGTCAAGAGCACACGCCCAGGTTGTGGGCACATCCTCAGTAGGGGGTGTGCAGGAGGCAGCTGGTCGATGATTCTCTCTCATCATTGATGTTTCTCTCTTTCCCTCTCCCTTCCTCTCTGAAATCAACAAAAATATGTATTAAAAAACAAACAAAACCCAAGTGTGCAGGGCAGTGTGCTCAGGTGTCACTCGGGCCCCACATTCCCCTTGCCCACATCCCACATTCCATTTCTTATCTCACTGTGGCCTTGGTGACTATGTCATGCTTTCCCTTCCTCCCTATGGAACTATCACGAGGCAAGGACCGGCAGTGGGGGGGGCTCGTGGGGTGGTGGGGGTAGGCTGGGGTCCCCTGAGTTGCTGGCCTCCCACATCTCTGCTGCGGATTGCTCTAGGCCAGAGGCCAGGCGGGGGCACAAGGAAGAGAGAGGGAGGTGGAGGGGGTAGGGAAGATGAGGGGAGGCGATGGAGAGAGAAAAGTAGAGAAGGGAGAAAGGGAAGGGGGAGAGGTGAGGGTGGGAGGTGCAGGAAGCTGTGGGCCTGCATTGGAGGAGATGGATTTTAGCAGGATTCTGAGCAGGTCGGATCTGGGGAAAATTCCCCATCCTCCTTCATGTCTGTACCCAGGGTCACAGCTTGGGCCAGGGCCTGAACCAGCTCTCTGGGCCTCCCAGCTCCTTTACCTGCCTCGTGACCCCTTCAACGCCAGCTCTGACCTCCCCGCCCCGCCACTGCAACCCTCAGCTCCCTCCCATTCCTGGCTCCAGCTCCCAAGGTGAACATCTGTCCTCCCTGGGCAGGTACTGGAGGAGGAGGGGACAGGCCAGGTCCTGTCTCACTGGTTCAGCCCTACATTCAGACCACTGCCTTGATTTCTGCTTGTCTGTGGGCCACCTACTATTATTACTTTAAAAAAATTTATTGATTTTTAGAGAGGAAAAGAGAAAGAGAAACATTGATGTGAGAGTGGAACATGGATAGGCTGGCTGCCTCCTGCACACCACCTACTGGGGTTGAGCCTATAACTGGGGCATGTGCCCTGACAGGATTTGAACCAGCAAGCTTTGGTGCATAGAACAATGCCCAATCAACTGAGCCATACTGGCCAGGGCTGGACCTATTTTCAACATTTCTTTAAATCAATTCACCTGTTCTGTTTTCTCCTCCTAAGCAATACCTGTGAGAACAATGGTCATCTGGTCATTCTTCCTGAAGTTGTATGTTGTCACCTGCTGCAGGACAGTGGCTGTGTGACTCTAGCTAGACTGGTGATGACACCCAGGACAATCACACCTGCTTTTCCCCTCTTCCCTTTTAATCCTCATCCAAGGAACGATGATTTCCATCAACTTCCAGAAACAATGGAAGGAAAGAAGAGGGAGAGAGAGATGTACACATTCAACAGTTGCCTCCCGCATGCAAATCTGAAACCCAGGCACATGTCATTGATTAGGAATCCAACCTGCTACCCTTTACTGAGCCACACAGGCCATGGTGCACCTGCTTTTATTAGGGACTGCTTCTCCTCCTACATACAGTAGGCACTTAATAAGTGGCCCAAAGTCGCAGTGAAAACCTCGCCAGCTGTCTCAGTGGTCCTCTCCTTACCAGATCTCTGATGTGTGGGCCCCTTGGCCTCTTTTCAAACCCCTTTACAGGACTGTATTCTGGGGTCCTCCCATCCACCAGGGAGACAGGTAGGTGAGCTATAAGCTCCATTTGGTAAGTGGAGAAACTGAGGCAGGGAGCCTGACCTGCCCAGGGTTTTTCAGCTTCTCACCTCATCTCTCTACACCCCTTTAGCTCAAGACTGGCTGGGCACCATGAAGAGCTATTTAAGGTGAAGGTGTTTGGTAGGTGTGTCCTGCCTGGAACACAGGCCACATCAATTGGCTTCTGGGTTAAGTTTAGGTCCCAGCCCAATTGCTCCCCTTCTGGGACCTTTGGCATTCTGGGCAGGACACCACAGGGTGAATGGGAGGACCAGTGTTCCGGGGCCTGTGTGCCATGTCTATTTTAAGCATCTGCCCTGCCTAGGTATTTGCTCTGTGGCCAATGTCCTCAGGAAGCCACCTGGCTGCACCCACACCCAGGAGCCTTGTGAGCTCTGAGTCTCTAGGAACTGCACCCCGCCCTGGTTCTGGGGCTCTGGACCCAACTCCCTTTTCCAAGATAGAATCAGCTCCTGCTAGTGAAGAAAGCAGCCTACCCCAGCACACACAGCAACTTTGGCTCAGACACCAGAGGCCTGAAAGAGCATCCTTGACCTTGGGCAAATCATGTTCTGGTCCTGCAAGTGGGGGGAAGGAGGATGTGAGATGCTCTGGAGAACCAGGGCTGCACCTACTCCGAACAGGCGCACCCCTGGGGAAGGGTGTGCTGTGCTGAGGGAGGCCCATGTCATTGATCTCTCACTGGGGCTGGGTGACTCTGTGGCTAGGCTGCTCCTTTGCCAGTGAGTTTCCAGGAGCCAAGAAGCAATTCTGGAAAATACAGGTACATTTTGGGAGATAAATTTTGAAGATGTTTCCCTTTTCTCAAACTCATTACTGTTCTCCTACTAGGTATTGCTGGGTGCAGGAGACCAGGGTTTACAAAGGGCTGGAGCCTGCCCCCCTCAACTATTCAGGAAAAGGGGAGTCAGTATGCCTACCTTGCTTAGTAGGTAAGTTCTCTGCCACGATTCCCCCTAGTACTTACAAATACATTCACCTCTTAAGCAAGTACTTAAATACTATGTATAAGCAAAATAACTGTTTCACAAAGCAAAACTCTAGTATTTTCTTAGTCTGTTTTATTTTTATAAAATACTAGTCATTACCCAAATGTTTTATTCCAGGACCCCAAAGCAGTCCCTGATCTGACGTGCACAGTCAAAAGAGAGAGAGGCAGACAAAGAGTGAGCGCGCACATGCCCTAACTGGTGTGGCTCAGTGGATAGAGCCTCCGCCTGTGGACTGAAGGGTCCCAGGTTTGATTCTGGTCAGGGGCATGTACCTAGGTTGAGGCACATCCGGCAGGAGGCAGCTGATCGGTGTTTCTAACTCTGTATCCCTCTCCCTTCCTTTCTGTAAAAAACAATAAAATATACTTTTTAAAAAATTGAGTGCACATTCACTAATGGAGCTGAGCGCTGGACGGGAACGTGACTCCAAACGGACTGAGGGCAGCCACTTCACAGCCGGGGATCCGGCCAGGCTGGGGCAGCCGGGGCAGGCCCGGTCAGGCGGGTTCTGAGGCATCGGTGGCGGGTGGTATGGGAACGCAACCCCAGGTTTGGGAGGGGAGCAGGGTTCAATGAGAAGATGCGTTCAGCTCCTTCTATTCAGCGGCTGACGCCCCCAAAGTGCTCTTTACCGCAGCCGCCACTGAACCCCAGGCCGCGAGAGCCACTCTGGGCCTGCCCTCAGGACAGGGCCCTTCTCCCGTCTTCCCCCCACCCCCACAGGGGCCCCAGCCTTCGTCCCGCGGAACAGGAACCACCCCAACCTGGCTTCACCCCCGCCCCCAGGACAGGGTCCCGGCGTCGCCCCCCAGGACAGGGTCCCGGCGTCGCCCCCCAGGACAGGGTCCCGGCGTCGCCCCCCAGGACAGGGTCCCGGAGTCACCTCCAACCCGGCATCACCTCGCCGCGCATCCCAGCCCGCAACCCCGCCCCGCGCACGCGCGTTCCGCACCCCATTTCCCCGCTCCCTTAACTCCCCCCGCCGCGCCTCGCGCTGCGGCCCCGCCTCAGTCCCCCGCGCAGGGCCCGCCGGGAGCCGCCGCGAAGGGCGGGGAGAGGGAGAAAACCAGCTGGAACTGGCGCGCCGACTGCGCAGGCGAGCGGCGAGGCCCGCCCCAGGCAGCGGCGCGGCCATATTTAAAGGGGAGGCCCCGCGCTGAGCCAATGGGCGGCGAGCGTGCGGGGCGGGGCGTGGCGAGGCCCCGGATGTGGCTGTGCGGCCCCTCCTCCCCCGCGCTCCTCGGAGACCCCGGTCGCGCGGCTGCTCGCCAGCCGGTCTCCACACGGGCCCTCGGCGGCGGGGAGGCGGCACGGAGGCAGGGCGGACGGCGAGGCGACCGCACGGAGGCGAGCGGGCCGGGCCCGGCCGGGCGGCCGTCGCCATGAGCGGTTCCTCGGGCACCCCGTACCTGGGCAGCAAGATCAGCCTCATCTCCAAGGCGCAGATCCGTTACGAGGGCATCCTCTACACCATCGACACCGACAACTCCACCGTGGCGCTCGCCAAAGGTAGCGACCGCGGGCGCCCCAACCGCCCGCCCCCGCCCGCCAACAGCCCGGCCCCACCCCCACCCCGGGGTCCCCGCGGGGTCCCGGCCCGCGTCACCCCTCCGGCCTTCACTCTGAGCCCTTCCCCCCGCGGGCCGTCTCCCGGGCAGCCCCCACCCTCGGCCATCTTCTCCCGGGCCCTTCTTCCCGGCCTCCCCTCCCCCTCGCAGGGCACACCCCCTGCCCGTCCCCTCCCCGCAGGCCCTCCCCCTCCCGCCACCCCCTCCCTTCGCCCCTTCATTCCGCCCCCCGCCCCGGGTGCCGCTTCCCTCCCAGGCCTCCCCTCGGAGCTGCGCTCGCCGGCACAAAGGTCTCCCCGCCCCGGCGTCATTGTGTGCCGTGGCCGCCCCGCCTGCGGGAGCGGGAGGGGGGCGGGCCCAGCGCGGTGCCGCCCCCTCCTCGCCGCCCTCCTGCAGGTGGGGGTCCGTAGCCGGGCCGCCTCCTCCCCACCTGGCTGAGGGGCAGCTGCGCCCGCCGCCCGGTCCCGGCGGGAGTGGGGCGAGGGCCAGAGGCCCCTCCCTCGGCCCCGGCCTCCCCTGGAGGGGAGAAAACCCGGCTCTGGGAGCCCTTCTGGAAAGCATTAAGCAGCCGTGGCCTTGAGCCTGAACAAATACCGCTTCTTATCGGAACCTCCTGTCAGCATAGAGCCTTGGCAGCTGGGTGCCCCCTCTAAAGTGCTTGCTGACCTACCCCAGGCGTGGTCTGTGGGCTTGCCCTGTAGTGACAGATCGCTCCCTGGGAGCGCTGGGAGCCACACTGAGCCTCCGGGACACTTCTGGAAGGAAGGTGGTGGAGGCAGGAGGTGGCCTCAAAGTTTCTTTGTCTACATCCTCCGAGAAAGATGGCGAGTGCAGCCAGGTCTACAGAATCCCCGTTGGTTTGGACCTGGATAGGCCAGCGATACCCCCAAAGGCCTTTCAGCGGGCAGAGCCCCCTCCATGCCAGGGAGCCCGGGCCTCGGGGCTCACACTCCTTAAAGCCTAGTGCTCCAGGCTGGCGCAGACTGCCCTGCGCAGGGAGGTAGTTAAGTGTCAGGAAGTGCGCGCTCCCTTGTACTCCGCAGGCACTTTGCTACATTAATATGACATTCCAGTTGGAGAAACAGACCCAAAGTCGCCCCTGGTCCGCAGGAGTTATGCTCAGATTAGATAGAGGGCGCCGAGATGTAAGGAGTCCTGGTTGGGCTCCAGCCCGTGGGGATAGAGAAGTCCCTCCAATAGACACAGGAGCTGGTGGGGTGGGTCAAGTTCTGGAACCCCTCTCTGAAGGCTCCGCCCAGGCTGGTGTGGGTAGGAGGGCGGAAACGGAAACGGTACTGTCAATGTATCCACTGCTCTCCCAGAAAAGGGGGACTGCCCAGGGCTAATGTGTCCGCAGGTTCCTATCAAAAAGCAGCTGTCGGGCTTTGACTGTCAAGTGAGATGTGACGGGGCTCTGCAAAGCCCCTTGTTCTACTGTGAGCACATGGAGCTTCGTGTGGCTGCCGGGCCCCGGAGTTGTTCCTTGTGGTTTTTGAGACCTAGAACTTTTTGGTGCTTTGCCAACTGGGGTCTTCCCCGTTGAAAATTGGAGAGGGGAGTAGTTGAAGTGTGGAAACCGGGGCTGGGCTATGGGTGGCACCCAAGGAAGGGGGTTGAATGTGCTTGGCTAGGACAACTAACGCGTTTTCTCCTCTGCTCCTAAGTGAGGTCCTTTGGTACTGAAGACCGTCCCACAGATAGGCCTGCCCCGCCCAGAGAGGAAATTTATGAGTACATCATTTTCCGGGGAAGCGATATCAAAGACATCACAGTGTGTGAACCTCCAAAAGCTCAGCACTCTCTCCCTCAGGACCCTGCCATCGTCCAAGTGAGTGCGGGCTCTGGGCCTGTGGGACCGTCTCTGAGGGCGCTGGAGGCCAAATGGAACTTGGTGTCGACTGTTAGGCCAGAGCGCTCAACTCGAAGGATGGCCTTTTAATGAAAAGTTGTTTAGTTTTTGTCAAGGAAAGCCTTAACTCCTGCAGCATCAGTTTTGTGTGTGGAGTGAGATAATGCTGTGGGGGGGGCAGGTGGGGGGGAAGGGGCAAGAGAGTGCGCCCAAGGAACTGGTGGTCAGTCTAAATCCCCAGCACTATGGTGTGCATGGCATAAGATGCTAGCAGGGACAGCAGGACTTGTTCTGTTAACTCTGCCCAGATGTTAAGTTGCAGTGCTGTGTTATGGTGTGTTTTGCCCCGGATTACCAGAGAGCCCAGGTTAATGTTTTCTCCTGACTTGTAAATTAAGTATTCACCAACTCCTTTGGAGCACCAACTGCAGGGAGAAACCCCTAAGTGGGCCTGAGAGAATGGGGATTCTTGGCCTCATTCCCTTTGGGGGCAGGGCCAAGCCAAGGATGGTGTGTCTTCTCTCTTGCAGAGCCCAGACTACCTGGTGCAGGCAGTGGGGAGCCGTAGAGGGCTTAATTAAGTTAGGGGAAGTTTGAGTGAGGATTACCTGGGCAGGTGGGGCTGGGGATAAAATGTGGAAAGGCAGCTGTAAGCTCCCTTATATCATCCTGGGAGCTTATCCCCCTTAGGGTCACCCAAGCTTCCAGGAAGCAGGCTGGCAGACTGGGGTGTCTGTCCCTGTCTGAACCGGCTGGGTGACGGGGGTCTGGCGCTGCTCTTACCTGTGTATCCCCTTGCTCAGTCTTCCCTGGGCTCGGGCTCCTCTTTCCAGCCGCACATGCCTTACAGCCCCTTCAGAGGGATGCCACCCTACAGCCAGCTGGCCGCCAGCTCCCTGCTCAGTCAGCAGTACGCAGCTTCCTTGGGTCTAGGTGAGTAACTTTTCTTTCTGCTAACCTGCCGTGCTGTGGCCTCCAGGAAGTGGGCTTCCGCTCCTGATGGGGACACTGTGTCCTTCGAGTGCTAGGCCGTTCAGTGACTACTCACTGAGAGTAGGAGAGGCAACAGTCTGGGTCCTGGAACAGGTGAACCAAATCCATGTTCAGTTGGTGTCAGCCCAGGTCTGGGGGAGGCCTGGTACATTGCTTCAAAGACCTGATAACTTCCAGGTGTAATCACATGCGTCTGATTCCTTGCACATTTGTAAGCCTGCAAATGTGAAACTTAAATACAGCATTGCCAGGTTACTTCTTCTTCATTCTCCTGTCGATGCCTCACTCAATTGAAAAACCCTGGAATAAGACTGTCCTAACCGTAGTGAGGGTCTGCCTGGGCCTGGCCGAAGCTCTTCTGAGCAGTCAGGCCGTGGGGTTGGCAGCCTCACCCACCTCGCTCCTGCTCTGACGATAGGGTGTGATCAGGCCCTCAACGGTTGTGTGGGTCCCTTGCTTCTGAGTCCTGTCGTCTTGGCTGCTGCTCCTACTGGTGGCAGTGCCCTCTCGGCCCAGCTCCTTGTGTTTCTAGAACAGGTTTGTGTGAGCAAAGTGTCCTAGGAGAGATGCTTGGCTCTTTCCAAGCCTGCTGAAATGCAAGACAAGTATCTCATTACTTATCTGTGCCCTTTCTTTTTGCTCTTTTCTCCTTTCTCTTCTTTTAGAGAAGCTGGTAAGCCCTCCAGCCTCAGCCGCAGCCTCCAGCCCTAGCTCCTCTCCATCTCCACAGCCCGTGTCAGAGCCTGACATGTCCTCAGAGCCACACCAGCTCACTTCCAAGGGTAACGGCAGTTTGGGAGAACTGCACGCTGTCTTTCCATCCTGAGAGCAGGGGGGTAAACCATAGATAGCCCAGAGGGACACTGGCTGTGACAGGATTGGCTGAGCCTGTGGATCAGCTAAACTGTGTTTCTGGTTCAGCACATGGTCCTGCCTTAGGAACTCTGGTTTTAAAGAAGGGCTAGAAAGCCCTTCGCTTGCTGTGCTGTCACTGCCACGTGTGGGCACTGCCCTCTGCTCAGGTCCTCCGTGGTCTGGATTGCTGGGGAAGACTGCAGGGGAGCCTGCTGAGCAGCTGCATGCAGCTCTGGGACCTGGGAAACATTCCTCACTCACAAAATTGGCCTCACATGGCTGAGTATGACGAAGCCACTTTAAAGCTGGGTGACCAACCCGAGCTCTTGACAGGTGAACAATGTGGGCTGATGACGGCCTGTTAATGCTGGTGGTGGGGGTTTCTGGCCTTGCCTGGCATTGGTTCTTTGCGTTTGCTGGGGGTCTGGAGTTGACATGCATGACTGGAGGCAGAGCTCTGTGCACACCGTGGAGACTCACTAGTCCAGGATAGTGCCTGTCAGCCTGTGTTTTGCATGTGCCCTGCACGGGCGCCAGTGCACTTGCGGTACCAAGGAGTGATGCTCTCCCTCCTTAAATGTTACGCAGACACTCTGTTCTCAAAACCCTGAGAACTGCGCCTAGGCAAGATGGCATAACTGCTCCACCGGTGTCAGAGAAGGCCAAGAGGCCCACGGTTCTTAGAGTGTGAGGACTCAGTTGGGCTGTGTGGCTCAGGAAAGGTTGTGCTGGGGAGGTGACAAGCCAGAGGAAGTGCTCTGGGGCAGTGCCCATTGTAGGGACACTGCAGTTGCCTGTGACAAGGCTGTTCCAGTCAGCCCCTGGAAGTACTTTGATCCGGTGACAAGGAATTCGTCACAGTAATTTCTCTGGTTTTTTGTCCCATTGAAAAAAAAATTTGTAATCTTCACTTATCCGGGCCACCCTGTCAGTCTAAGGACCCCAAGGTTAGGGCTGGTCTTTTCTGCCTCAGACCTTGGTGCACTTCCACCCACAGACCCAGGACCGGGTGAGAGGGGAGCAGACAGCTGATTAGTAAGGCACATCCCTCTGTCCTCTTTCTTTAGAGGACCCTCTTGTAAGGCTCTGTTTCTGAGCATTGGTGTCCTGTGCTCAGGGCTGGGAGTGCAGCTCCATTGCCCAGGGCAACCTGGAAGCCTTTGTTCTTCAGGACAAGCCTGGACCCTCAAGAACACCGCAGGCTGCACTCCTCTGTAGTCAGCGCTGCTAGTCTTTTCCGCTTTGTTACGCCTTACGCAAAAATAACAGTATCCTAAGACTTAACTCCAGTGGCTGGCCACTATGTTTTCTGGACAATCCCAGACTGGGATGGCTCTTGCTCGGTGGGGGCCAGTGTGGAACAAATCCTCATACAGCATCTTGGGATCACAAAGCCCCTTGGGGTCAGAGCCATTTCTAAACCACTGGGAGGGGCTCCTTGTGGCCGGGTGTTGTCCCTCTGTGGGGGTTTCCTCACAGAGCCTGGGGCTCAGCTTCCAGGCTGAGCTGGCCTTGCTGCTGGAGCTGCTGCAGAGGTGTGGCATGCTGAGGGGGCTGGGACTGGGTTGGGTAGACCCCTTCTGGGTTGTTGCCTCTCCCCCTGCTTGAACAGAAGTGTCTTCGGGGACCAGGGAGCTTTCTCCTTTTCTCTGTTGTCAATCTGCCTTCTCTCCCCAACTCAGGAGCTGGTTTTCCATCCATCCCAGTTGGCAAGAGCCCCATGGTGGAGCAGGCTGTCCAGACTGGTTCTCTTGATAACCTGAACACCAAAAAGCTGTTACCTGGTGGCAAGGGCACTGTGGGGGTGCAGCTCAACGGGCGCCCAGCCCCGCCAAGCGGCAAGAGTGCCAGCGGTACTGAAACACTCGCTCCCTGGGTGTGCTCCCTCTCTCACCGTGCACACTGCTGCCTGGGGCTTTGTAAAAGGAATTGCACCCCTCCTAAACCACGTGCATTTGCAGGGCAAGCCCCTGTCGCATGTCCCCTGGGGTGGTGCCATCTGCTTCCGTCCCAGCTTCTGCTCTGGCAGGCGCTTGCCTTACTATCCCCTTTTGCGCCTTAGATGTAGTTCAGCCAGCCGCTGTGCAAACGCCAGGGCAGGTGAACGACGAGAACAGGAGGCCCCAGAGGAGGAGATCAGGTAACAGCTGCTGCCACATTTTGGCGTGCTCTCCCCCCTGCCATCCCTCCCCGACCCCCCCGCCTGCTTCTCTGGGCACAGTTTCAGGGGTGCCAGGGCTTGATGGTGGCTTCAATGTGCTCTCTTCTCTTTTCCTCTCTTTGTCATCTGTCTCACACTCAGTAATATGTTGGTGGCTCATCAGCCATGTCTCGTTTCTCCTCAAAGGGAACAGAAGAACAAGGAATCGCTCTAGAGGGCAGAGCCGCCCAACCAGCGTCAAGGAGAACACAATCAAGTTTGAGGGGGACTTTGACTTTGAGAGTGCAAACGCCCAGTTCAACCGCGAGGAGCTAGACAAGGAGTTCAAGAAGAAACTGAACTTCAAAGGTCTGAGTCCTCGTGTGGAAATTGCCCTTGTTCTTCATGGAGTATCCACAGAGTGGGTCAAACAGCTGGAGCTGTGAAATGGGGGGGGAGGGGGTGATGGGGGCCAGTGGGGGAGCTGTGCCCCGTAGGGTGGGTGGCATGGGCTTGGGGGGGAAGCCACTTAGCCCAGAGCACTCATTTGGCTGCTAAGTGACAGCGGCCCTGCCAAGACAGAGCTGCTTTTCCTGCCTCCAGCATTTCAGTGGGCTCCACTTCTCTGTGCAGATGACAAAGCTGAGAAGGGGGAAGAGAAGGACCCAGCAGTGGTGACCCAGAGTGACGAGGCGCCTGCTGAGGAGGACCACCTGGGGCCCAACTGCTACTATGACAAGTCCAAATCCTTCTTTGACAACATTTCCTCTGAACTCAAGACCAGGTCAGAGGGCGGGGGTGAGGGGTGGAGGTCCGGGTGAGCTGGTGGGAAAACACACTCTGCCTCAGTTTCTAGGACTGGGATGCACTCTCTTGTTGATCACTCAGCTCTCAGGTTTGGGCCCTACTCACATGTCTGCCACAGTGGACACATCAGTCCCCGTGGTGGCAGCATGGGAGGCCCTGGCAGTCACAGGCCCCGAGCCACTCTCTCACTTCCCTCCTGGTTTCTCTGCCCTGCCCATGGAGGCTGGGCTGGCCCCACACCCCAGCTGAGTGACTATGGACTTACTTCCTGGTTCCCAGCTGACCCTGGAGGCCTGAGGTCCTTGCTACCTGAGTCAACTTGCCTGAGTGTCAGGAGTGTTCTGTTCCGGATGCTCTTTCACCTGACGCTTGAGGCTGGGACCCCTGGTGTGGTATGTTTTCAGCACCTGACGGCTGGTTACTCAGGTGTTGCCCGTGAACAAGCTGGACTAGGAGAGAACTCTGCCGAGCTAGGCATGCTGCAGAAACTCCGATCCATCTCCTGGCAAGCAGAGTGTCAGGCACACTGCTGAGCATGGAGGGTGCAGCAGAAAGCAAGCTGGGCTCCGCACTGCCCTGCGCTGGGAAAGTGGATGAGGAGAGCAAGATACACACACAAGACTGAAATGCATTGAGGAGAAGCGAGTGGTGACTCGAAATGGGCTGCGGATGCTGTGGGCCAAGAGAGCAGGTTTCCAAACCTGTTCCAGTGGGCAGGGCCGGCAGCTGTCAGGTTGGGAGCCCAGGATTGAAGCCACCTGACCTTTTACCTCGTGGGTCTTCGGTGAGAGTGGCTGCAGGTGGCCGCTTCCCAATAGTTCAGGTGTCTCACCTGGGGCTGGTGATAGAGAGAGGCTTGGCTTCTGAACTGCTTTGAAGGTGGAGCTAGTGGTTTGCTGGCAGGATATGAGGAGAGCCGGGTGGCCTCAGTGGCAGCTGGGACACAGCTGCTGTTTCTTTAAATGAGAAGGGTTGTTAACAGTTGTGGGTCTGTACTAGAGATGCTTGGGGAACATGGGCTCTGGAGCCGGGCTGTGCTGGTTCCCAGCACCCATAAAGTATAAGCACATTCTCAGGGGACCCTGCCTATTTAGCCCAGCCCCTTTCTCGTCTGGTAGAAGCCTGTTTGGAGGGCTCATGGTCTGCTCCAGGACTTGGAGACCGTGCAGGCCTGAGCCCAGCATCAGGGAGGCTTCCATTGGAGTACAGTATGCCACGGGCTTGTCTGGGGGACAGGCATGAGCTCTGTGCCCAGCAGCCTAGTTCCGTGAGCAATGGGCCTGGAGCTCCTGCATTGTTGGGTGTCGAACTGCAGGGGACTAGCTGGGTCACCCCTCCAATGGCTCCAGGAACACAGTGTCTGTCTGTTCTTCCTCACAGGCCCAGAAAGTTGGGATGGCTGCCCCGGCAGTCGGTTTTCACAGCCTTTGTCTGGTTCAGTTCCAGGCGGACCACGTGGGCTGAGGAGAGGAAGCTCAACACAGAGACCTTCGGGGTGTCGGGAAGGTTTCTTCGTGGCCGTGGATTCCGAGGTGGACTGCGAGGGGGCAGAGGCAGTGGCACCACCCGGCGCAATCCGACTTCCCACAGAGCCGGGACTGGCAGGGTGTGAAGAGCAGCCAGAGGTGGGTGGGGGACCTGAGGGTCCTCTAAGGGGGGGGGGGCATGGGGATGCAGTACCCCCCTTCCATCCCCCCCAGCCTCTTCAGGAAGAGTGCAGAGCCGAGGGCCGCCCTCCAAATCTCCAGGGGGCTTTTGGGGACCCCAGGCCCAGCTTTGTCAAAGTGGGTTCCTGTGCAGGAAGGTGGGTGCTTGCTCCTCAGGGGAGGGTCATCCAGGAGAGCTTGACAAGCCAGGGTCTCAGTGCAGCCTGGCTCTGGCTTTTTCACGAGGTCCTAGGTGACGTGTACGCCCCTAGGATCTGGTGGTAAGTGGGTCTTGGTGGATGGGACCCAGAGCTGCCTGCTGCGGCATGCGTACAGGAAGAATTTTCCTGGTGGGCTGTGATGGAGTTTGGGAAGCCCTGGCTGACACGGGGGACGCCTGCTGAGAGCACTTACATGGTGTCATGTTCCCCTCAGGCTCCTGCAGAGGCAGCGGCAGAAACGAAGCTGAGTGAGGACGCTGCACTTGGACAGACAGACGATGGGTCACCGTTTATTATTTGTTTTGACGTCATGGAACTTGGACATGGTCTGAGTTAGAACTGCTCACGTTCGAGAGTGTTTGGGTGACCTCTCTGAGGTCTCTGGATCTTTCCTCTTCAGTTATGCACAGTCTAACCTAAGGTTTTGGTGTTTTGCAAAAAGTTTTCTAGAGTGAAAGCTTGATCCTCACTTTGAAAATTTTTTTTTTACAACTTTCACTATTAAAGTGGACCGTGTGGCAGCCAAGCACAGCTGTCACCCAACTGGCCCGGTATCCCCACTGCCACTGGTGAGCCTCAGGAGCAAGGTAGGGCCAGCCCAGGGGGTGTGGGGTCAGGTGGGCCCCAGTAGGGAAAGTGGAGGTCCTGCAGATCATGTGTGAGCAGACAGACCACCTGATGTCCAGGGTGGCAGTGTCGAGGTTGGGACTGGCATGATGACACACTTGGAGGCACAGTAGGGGCCTGAACATGAGCTGGGAGCTGTTGCTCAGCCTGGCTTCCACAGGAATCAGGGTTGGGTTGGGGTGGCCTACCCATCCTTTCTGTCCTGCCAGCCCCTGCCAGACAGTGTTGGACTCAGGCCACTGTTCGAGTCTGATCCACTTGGAAATGAGTCAGTCTTTTTTGCAAGCTCGGCTGATAGAGCTCCGAGTTGTAAATAGTTTTGTTTTGTAGGAGGGTGGAGGGAGGTGGGATGTAAACTGTTGCATGAGTCAATGGGTCACCTTAGTACAAGCATGCTCCCCCCTGAAGACAGGGCATCTTGGTGGACAGAAGCACCTTGGTAACTAAATTCCCTAGATAGCTGTAAAGATTTTGGTTCTGTATTAAGTTACTGTAAAAGCTTGGGTTTATTTTTGTAGGACTTAATGGCTAAGAATTAGAATGTAGCAACGGGGCTGCTCTGTTGGAGTAATGTATATTGTAATTAAAATAAACACGCAAACTTTAAAATTTTCTTCTTTGCTTTGAAAGTAAGTGGTCCCATTGATTCTGCCTGAATCCCGTCATACCTGACAGGCGGACCTTAGAGGACCTCTGATGCTCGTCTCAGCTGGACTGGGCAGTGTCAGGCCCATTCACTGTGGGCCACCCTTTTGGGATGAGCGGCTCTGCCTTCCTGACACAAAGTAGTTTCTAAAACTCAGTTCACAAATGAACCTGATTCAGAAATGGTTCCTTGGTCCATCCCTTACACAGCTTCTAAGCTGCCAAGCATCCCTGTTCTCAGTGCTTTCAAACCTGTTCTAGGGCTGGGCCACGTTTTTGGCAAACTTCCTTTTTTTTTTTGGACAACATCCTTGACCAATAAAAATAATCCTCCCAGGTGTGCACATGCTAGATTTGAAATTAGTTGGGAACAGTTGGACTAAAGTATTTTCTGTGCTGAGATTCTACATATTGTCAATTCTGTTACCATATGTAACCAACCTTGCTGCTCAAGTCTTGAACTGAAAACCATTGACAGTTGCGTTTTAGGCTGAACTAAAATATCTTGGCCTCTTGACTCCTTTTCATAAGATAGATTACATGTGCCCTCAAGGGGAATGTGGAGTAAGAAAGCTACTGTTGGAGGCAGAAAGGGGGACCCTAGAATCCTAGCAGAGTTGTAAGGGGCAACTGCCCAGGGGCCCAAAGGCCACCTGTCACAAAAACCAGTAGCCTCCAGAGTGGCAGGCCAATGTGCTTGTTAGGGTTTTCTGTAGGGACATTAAGACTATGACTTACACTGCTAATGGCTTAGAGCACATGTGTCAAACACAAGGCCTGCGGGCCAAATCCGTCCTGCCAGGCCTTGCAATGTGGCCCGCACCGCGCTGTCATCACTGCACTCCGCTGCGTTTCCATCACAATGACAGTTTATGACTGTTGGCCTGCGATTTAGGCTGGATTTTAGATTTTGGCCCCTTCTCTGAGTTCGACACCCCTAGCTTAGAGGCTAGGATTACAGGCTTTCTGGTAAAAAGTGAACAAGGCACTGGGTGGCTTGGTCGGTTGGAGCTTCATCTTGTACACTCAAGGACTATGGGTTTGATTCCTGGTCAGGGTGCGTGCAGGAGACAACTGGTCCATGTTTCTGAACACTGCCCCCCTTCCCCTCTCTCAAAATCAGTGAACGTCTTCAGTGAGGATAAAAAGATTAGAAAGTGAGAGGGTGATAACAGTAAGCACCAGAAGTCTTAAGGGAGACAATATGAGAAATGTTGACTTGACCTAGAAAAACCATAAACACAAGGCTAGTTCTAAATGCAACTGCTACTATGCAAAATTCTGAGGTAAACACTTTAACAGTGCTATTTGTGCTCCTGTCCTTGACCTTACGTTAATTAGGAGCTTGGACAAAGGTCAGAAGAACAATCAACCTATTTGGAACATGAAAAGGAGGGTTAGAAGTGCCAGGTGCTCCTTCCTACTGCAGCCCTGACACCTCTGGTACTGCATGCGCTCAGACTCCTTGCAGCCCTTCCACAGTCCCCAAGGGACAACCCCCACTCAGCCTGTGGCTGCTGTCTTGGAGCCTGGCAACAAAGGGGAGGAAAGCTTTCAGAGACTGACCACGAGGCGTCAACTCCATTTCCTCAAGAGCTACGTACTAGAATTCCAGGCCTGGCCGGGTAGCTCAGCTGGTTAAATATGCCAAGGTTGCAGGATGCCAGTCAGGGCACATACAAGAATCAACGCATAAATAAGTGGAACAAATTAAAGCTTCTCTTTCTCCCACTCAAGTCGATAAAAATAATTTTTTTTTTTAAAGTAGAGCTATCATAAATCCACCCAAAAGACACGTGGCTTGTAAAAAGGCAAGGTTAAAAACATGGAATTTATTGTGGGACACAGACGACGGGATGTCAGGGCCTGCGAGTTGCTTGGTTCTCACATCAGCCATGATTTGCATTTAAAAATTGCTCCCCGCAAGATTTGATCATGATGCTTTCTTTTGTTTCTTCTTTTCATTTTCTTCTTTTTCTTTTTCAATCTCAGCCACATATTTCTCAATTTCTTCAGGATTTAAAATCTACCAAAAGAGAGTTTCTGGTTAGCCCCTCAGCCTCGGAGGTGCCCCAGTGCAGTAAGGTCCCACCCTACAGCTGCTTCAGGATGACAAGGCCATGTGGCTGGTGGGGATTAGTGAGAAGCAGAAACCAACCTGCACAGCTGCTGACAGCTTGTCCATGTGCCAGGAGCACACGTGATTCCCCATGTGTGACCATGCCGTCAGCCCTGGCGTGCTTGCTTCCCACCCATTTGTGAGGAGCCTTGCCTGATGCTAAAGCCACAGCAGCGTGAGCCAGCACCGCCCTGCCTGTCCCAGGAGCGCTCCACTGTGAGAACAGCAAGAGACGTGGGTTTACCTTGAGGGGCTGGTCTCGCCTCATGACAGCCAGCTCAATGTTTTTGCCGCCCGACTGAACCACCTTGGGAGGAGAAGAGGGCGAGAAGAGAGCATTAGATAGCCAAGCCCACCCCAGGACCAAATAGGGTTGCCAACCAGTGGCCCATGAGGTCCAAAAGGTTGGCAGCCGCTGCTTTAGACAATCACCTGTGCACCCAAACACAGCACTGCCGGGCACACTGCAGTCCCAGCACCCACAGCTTCTGCGCTGCCTCCTGCCTCCTGGCAGTCAGACCTTGGCTGGGTCTCTGGTCCCTGCTCCTGCACAACAGCTGGGCTCCTGACACCAACCCCCTGCTCTCTACCCCAGCCTAGCCTCCAACTAGCCCCTCTCTGCCTCTGGCTTTACCCTTTTTAGCATCTGTAAGATGCTAGACCCTACAACTCCCAGCAGTACTCCTAATTTCTGCTCTCCCAGTAGCCGGAGCCCCAGGAAGGCTGAGTGTGGTTGTAAGCTGTGCCCTGACTCTGCCAGTCACATGTAGGAGCTGGCTGAGCAGAGCAAACCCTTGTAGCATGCCACCAGGGAACACCTTTAGGGCATGGGTGTCCTCACCGGCTTGCCCAGATGCAAAGGCACACTTACTTCCAGGAGGGCCTTGATCACCAGCTTGATGGTCAGATCGTCCGTCTCGATGGCTTCGTCAGTGTAATTCTTCTCCAGAAACTCACGCACTGACTTGGCACCCCGGCCTATGGCATTGGCCTGATAGGGAGTATTCTACGTCACAGGACAACCCAGACCCAAACCAACAACACAGGACAACCCAGACCCAAACCAACAACTCTGCCACTGTGTGGGCCAGCCAGCTGCCCCTGTGCTGTGCTTGAGGGCAGCCTGGGCTCCCGGGCCTGCCCCGATTCTCCCCAATAGTAGATACCGTATCGGTGCTGACAGACTCGTGGCCACTTCACTTTAAGCCATGAGTCCTTACAGCTCACTGCCCTTCCCCCCAAACAGTGCTGTTCCATAGGCTGTGTGCACGCACACCCTGGAGGGAGGCAGCCCGCAGGGCCTCCCAAGCCCCTTTACTGTGGCAACACAGCCTGCAAGCCCTCTCTGCCGGGGACTCACCTTCCAGGCATGGTATGTGCCCGACGGGTCAGTCTGATAGAGTCTGGGGGTGCCATCAAAGTCGAAACCCACAATGAGGGCTGAGATGCCGAACGGCCTGCGCCCATTGCTCTGTGTGTAGCGCTGACAGGAAACAGAACACATCACTGTGCCATCTCAGCACCACAAGCCCGCCCACGCCCATGGGAAATCTCCGCTGCACTTAGGGACGAGGACAGCCCCGGGTCCCCTCCTCAGCTTACTTCTAAGGATGAGCAAGAATAGCAATCGCTCCCTCTCTACTTTTCTGCATTCTCATCCATCCAGCCAGGCTGGGCGCAGGGCCGCCCCATGGAGCACAGCTGAGGCTGTGCGGAGGGTGAGACAGCAGACACACATTCTGGCTGCACAGCTGGTGTGAAAGGCGACCAGCAGTTCACTTTAGGGCAGGGGTGGCTTCCAGCCCCTCCCAAGTCCTTAGTGACCATCACTCAGAATGGCAAGATAAAACTAACCCTTCCCTCCAGAAATAGGCATGTGGAGCCCCAATCCCATCAACAAGAACGATGCCACCAACATGGGCAAGTGACAACAAACACATGCCCCAGACGAGTGCAGGCCTCAACCTTCCACAGTGACGTGTGCCAGCACCCACACTAACAGCAGGACACCCTCCAGGACCTAGCGGTGCCCACACGTGTCCAGGCCGAGCCGCAGTGGGCCTACCTGCTTCAGGCTGGCGATGTAGCGGGTAATGTACTCCACGGTGACCGGGTCCTCCACTGTCAGCCGGTGGCTCTGGCACTCCACCCGTGCCCTGTTGATGACTATCCTTGCGTCAGCGGTAAGGCCTACAGGACAGCAGAGCATCACCGTGTGGCCATGATCAGAGACACAGATCACATGAGCAGACAGCAAGGGTTCCAAAACCAGTCCTCTAAAGCAGTGGTCACCAACCGGTGTCCACGGGGTACTGGTGGTCCGCGAGGTCCGAAAGGCAGGCGACCATTGCTCTAAAACTCAGCACGGGGTCCACTGGCAGCACCGACCCCAGACTGGGTGGACCGCTCAGCCTCTGGGCTGACCAAGAGCTGTGTGTGCCAGGCCCCGTGAAGTCAGGCAAGTCACCCTCGTTTAGCACAGGGTAACTGGCATGTTCCCTAAATGGACCCACCAAGGGAGGAGAGCTGAGAACACAGTTCCCACCAGCCCTGCTACACAGGCGCAGTAGCTGTAGAAAGCCTGACCTCTCTCTAGACTAGGGGTGTCGAACTCAATCAGAGAAGGGCCAAAATCTAAAATCCAGCCTAAATCGCGGGCCGAATGGTTTACTGAACAGTCATAAACTGTCATTGTGATGGAAACGCAGCGGAGTGCAGTGATGACAGCGCGGTGCGGGCCACATTGCAAGGCCTGGCGGGACGGATTTGGCCCGCGGGCCTTGTGTTTGACACATGTGCTCTAGACAGTAACTATAATCAGGGACATGGCGATGACAGTGGAGCTGATGGCAAAGCCATATGTCCTGGGGTACCTATTCCTGCAGCCTCTGCTCCAGCCACCAGGGGCAGCGAGCCTCCTCACCAAGAAACCACCGCCAACCCTTTAAAGGCCCAAACCCATTGCTTTAAAGGACGTGGGTTTACCCAGTTCACACGTCTCTCAAAGCTCCGCTTGGCCCCAGGCTCACCTGCGAACGCCATGCAGACATTGTCGTCCAGGGCACAGATCTTCCGCACTGTCCTCTCATCCTGCAGTTTGGCCACCGACTTCTTTTCCACACCAAGAACAACAATGTCTTTTCCTCGAACACCAACCTTCAAGAAAAACCAGCACAGCACTAAGTGACCTGAGGGTGTGCAGCAGGCATGGAGCTCTGAGCAGGTGTTCAGGGTCCTGGGTCACGGCTGTGGGTGCCACGCTGGCCAACCACGCTACTGATCTGCTGTGGTGGAGCTCCCCAGCTGTCGTGACTGTGCCCAGACCTGTAGCTTCAATGACAACACCTGTGGTGTCACCAGTGTGTATGCGTGTCACTCAACCCACTGAATCAGTCATACAAAAAGGCTCGCAGCCCGAGATCCTAGGACCAAGCCAGGTGTTCTGAAAGTCGTGGTTCAATGCTTATGACCTACACTACAACCCACCCTTCCCTTTGAATGTGTGCAGGACACCTGTGCCAACTATTCCTGGGAGGTTAGCACCGCTTATGGCTGGCATTGAACAGGGAAGGACACATTAAAATTACCACTAACCCCTGACCCCTGGCAATGCATGTGAAAGACAAATGGGGTCAATCCCTCAGAGAAGCTTAGTTCAGAGCAGGGCTCCTCAGCCTGGGAGCTGGGGCCCTGGGCTGGCTCACTCTTTGAGGTGGGGGCTGCTGTGCTCTAAGGTGTTTACCCCTAGATGCCAGAGGCACCCTCTAGTCTTGCACATGGAACAATGTCTGCGCAGGCTACCGAATGCCTCTGGGGGTGCAAAATGACTGGTCTGCCGTGTCAGATTTCAAGGCGCTTTCTTCAGAGCTCCCAGGACTGGCAGGCCGGCCCTGAGGTGCTAGGGGGTTAAGCAAAGCCAGCCTCATCATATGGGGGGGAGGGAAGGGTCAGTAGACTCTCACTCCAGTGCTCTTTAAGCTGAGTTAGGTCACAAGATGGATTCCGATCTTAATTTCAAAAGATGTTCAAGAAACAGAAACACCAAAATTCACAGAACTGTGTGCTTTCTTTGTTTTGCTTGCTCACATCTCTGAAATACCAGATAATAAAAGGAAACCTGGCCAATAAGCAAACTGACAATGATGTGAAGAATTTCAAACCGAGAGGAAGGCTCAGGACAGTGGGTCAGCGCATTGCCCCGCTCCTTACCCAGGAGAGAACCTCCAGCTCAGTGGAAACTACTCAGCTCATACGGAGAACCTCGCTTTTTTCTGGAAGCCCACCTGTGCCTGAGGACAACGCTCTCCCTAGTGGGGAAGTCCCCTAGCTGGGACCTATCTGGATGCACTTAAGTCACCTGCGTACTTAACGTTCACGGAGCCAGTGAGCAGCCAGCCCCGCCTGCTCACACGCAGGGGCCTCGGCACAGCCCACACCAGCCACCCGGGTTCAAAGGCAGGGCGGGGCGGCGCAAGATGGCCGGCACCTCCCGGCCCGCTCTGCGCTACCGGGAGGCAAGAGGAAGGTGGCACTGTGAAGCTCATCAATCGCACCCTATTTGCTGGTTTGCAAAGCACCTGACGGATCACCATTAACACCCCCTCAACGGCCCTTGTTGCGAACCCAGTGTTCAGAGGGCAGCCCCATCAGACTGTCCCGTCCTGCCGTTCCCGCCCGGCTCCACAGGGCCCAGCGTGCCCTTTCCGTTTCCTTCAGGGGTCCCCACCCTCGGCCCCTGTGACCAACTGACGCCCATCGGACACAAAGCACTGGCGGCAAAGAGGAGCTTGTCAGCGCGGCCGGGCTCAGTGGCAGGAGCACCGGGCCTCCGGGCCCCATGGGAACGCTCCGTCCACGACCGGGTCCCGTTCGATTGGGGGCATCCTCCGCCCCGGCAGAGACCGGTCCGGGCCTCGCGGATTCCTAGGTGCCCCCAGTCCGGGGCCTCCCCGATCCCCCAGCCGAGGCCCTCCGGCTCCCCGCGGCCCCGCGGCCCGGGCCGCCCGCTCCCCGCTGCACCCCGGCCCGCCTGCTTCCGGCCGCCAGCGGGCCCGGCGCAGAGCGCGCGCTCACCGCGGTGGAGCCCTTCTTCACGGCCTCCTGCGCGTACTCCACTTGGAAGAGGTGGCCGTCGGGCGAGAAGACGGTGATGGCGCGGTCGTAGCTCATGCTGGCGAGCGGCGGGCCAGGCCGGGAAAAGCGCACACTCACCGCCGCGCGGCCCGCGACACCCCTGCGCCCGCCGCCCCGCCCCGCCCCGCCCCGCCCCGCCCCGCGTCCGCAGCGTGCGCGAGCGTGGCGGCGTCGGCGGCCGTGCGCGCCGGGGCGGGGCCGGGCCGAACCACCGGCGCCGGGGCGGGGGGCGGCGAGGCGGCGGCGGGCCGCGCGCGGGGCGGGGGCGCGGTCCCCCGGGGGCGGCGCGCGGGGCCGGCCGTGGGGCCCGGCGGGGCGGGGGCGGCGCGGCGGCGGGCCCGGGGGCGGCGCGGCGGCGGCGGGCGGACGAGCCCACGGCGGGCTCCCCCGCGCTCCCACCCCCAGCGCCTGCGGAGAATGAGCACCTCGGGCCGCCGAGCGCAGCGGGAGGAGAAGCCCCGATGATCTGGTGCTGAGCTCGCGCCGCGACCATGTCGGTGGCCTTCGCGTCCGCCCGGCCGAGAGGCAAAGGGGAGGTCACGCAGCAGACTATCCAGAAGGTAGGCGGGCCCCGCCGGCGCGGGCGGTGCGGGGCGCGGGCGTGCGCGGCGGGGCCGGGACGCGGGCAGCCGGCGGGCTCGGGGCGCGAACAAAGCCGGCGCAGCCGATGGCCGTCACCCCGCCGGGCCCCACGAGACCCCGCCACCAGCTGCGCCCAGGTGGGCGGGGGCTGCGGTAGGGGTGCTGGGCGACGGGGCCGCGCGACCTGGGGGTGGTGCCCGAAGGGTCGTGCTCGCGGACGCAGCCGGGCGCAGTGCGAACCCGCCGCCTTCGGGCACCCGGCGCCGCGGATAGGGGCTTAGGGCGGCCGGGATGGTGCCGGCGGGGTGCGGGTCGTGGGCTAAGCCCGGGGGTAGCCGGGCCATACCAGGCGCAGAGGGCTTTCCGTCGGACTGGCTGAGGCTGTGGCGCAGCCCCGCGGGCGGCCCCTGGCCCCGGGGCCCAGCTTGGCGAGTGGAGGGGGCCCACAGCTGGCCACACTCACCCCTCAGTAAGGGCCGGCACGTCCCGAGTGTGCGATGCCCTTCCGGTTCGGGCTCCTCCGCGGCCCTGTGAGGAGTGCTGGCCGCCTTGAGCTCGACCTGCTGGCCACGCTTTGCTGCGTTAAGCGCGTGTCCAGTTGTTTTCCAGCCGGCACCCTTACCTGTCAGAAACTGGACGGGTTCGCTTTGTGACCTTCTAGAGATAACGTCTACATGGAGTTGGGGCACCTTTAACAAAACCCTTAAATTTTGAAGTTAGATTTAGTATTTTCTGCTGTTTCTCCAGCGTTTTTGGTAGATTTGTTTATTTCTTTCTAAGCTTGGAATTCCTGGGGGTAACGGCAGTATTCCTTGGTTCCCAGGAGCCTCTCCTTTCCCTGAGGGGATTCACCCCAGTGCCCTGCCCCTCTCCTTGATGATGCCAGGGTCTGTGAACCTTGTTTGCTTGGCTGGTTTTGACAGATGAGTCTCAGTAAACTAACCAGGAAAGAAGCTAGTTGAGAAGCAGCAAAAACACATACTTTAAAATCTGGCATTTTTGTTTGACATTTTGTACTTACGTGGTGCTTACTGATACCAGGCACTGCTCTAAGGCTTTACAGATCGTGGCTTATTTAATTCCTGTAGTAGTTACTATCATTCTCATTGTATAGATATGGAAACGGAGGCAGAGGGAAGCCAAGTGCCTGATGGTTAGTGATGGATCCAGGAGTTGAACCCAGACAGGCTTCAGGATTTGCCCCAACCATGACACCTGATGTGGGAACACTTGGTGCAGGTCAAGTGCTTGCTCAGAGACACACTCGGCAATCACCAGGGCCTCAGTGTGAAGAGCAGAGGCCAGCTTTTGCCTTCAACATTCATCCAATTATTTACACCTTGCGCTCCCTTCTTAGTAAAGCTCACCACATTGCCAGGCAAAGCTCTGCTCCTGAACATTAGGTCAGAGAGAAGGGAGCTGCTGGTTGGAAATGGGTCTTCAGTTTAGGTTGTCATCTGATTTGACCTGAGTAAGCCAGCGATGTGTAGACTCACCGTGGTGTGTTGACAGTGAATCTATGTACCCAGGAGTCTTTTACTTGCAGTGTGAGAAAGCCAAAGAGTTATGTGACTCACACTCACAGGAGCTGTGTCCACAGCGTGTGCTCATGCTCAGAGCATTGAGAAAAGCTAGGGTTTTTCAGAAGCTGCTTGGTAGTGAGAAAGCAGGAAGAATACAGCTTGTCCTTGGAGCATATTTGCATAGAATTCTGCCAGGCAAACTCCTACTCAACCTTCAAGGCCCTACTCAAATGTCCCTTCCCTCATTCTCCTTTGGCAGTCATGTGCTGGGTTTTGACACATTGCCTGGGCTTGCACGTTTGCATGTCACTGACTTATTTGCAAAGTCCCAACCTGTCAGTGCCCAGTGTCCATGACACTGGATCTGTCAGGGGAAGTGTTGGGATAGTAGATGGATTTGTTCTTTTGGCTGCTGTGGCAGGTTACCACAGACGGGTGGTTTAAAACCAGAAGCATTTTCTCAGTTCTGGAGGCTGGAGGTCAGGGCTGGTTCCTGTGTGGGGGTCTGGGGGAGGATCGCTCCCATGCGTTCCTCTGAGCTCCAGTGGTTCCTGGCAGTACTCCGCGTCCCTCCCTGCTGGGTGTGTCACCCCATCTCTGTCTTTTCTCATGTGGCCTCTCTTCTCTGTATGTCTGAGGGTCCAAATTCCCCTCTTCTTGTAAGGACACTTTTCATGGGATTTAGGACCCACCTTAATCTGGACTGACCTCATTTATCCGAACTTCACTGTGTTTGCAAAGACCCTGTTTCCAAATGAAGTCGCATCTACAGGCACCAGGGGTTAGGGTCAAACCTATTTTGAGGGTCACAATTCCACCCAGTACAGAGGCTGTATGGAGAAGGGGTGTTCCAGGCAGGAGAACTGAGGAGCAGAAGCAGAAGGGTCTGGAAGATCCAGGGAGTTGCAGGTGGTCCTGCCCATGGTCTTCATAGAGCAGGCATGAGGTGCAAATTAGAGGTGCAGGCAGTGCTGCTGACCTGGGGAGCGGCGGGTGCAGGTGGTAGCCTGAGGTGACAGACAGTTCTGATGCAGGTGGCACTGCGCTTTGGTGAGAAGCACAGGGACCCGGAGGTGGAGATGGGCGGGGTCCCAGCAAAGTCTATGGCCTGCGGGCCAGGACCTGCCCTGCACGCTCTCCCTGCTGTCCAGGGCTGTGCTCCCGACACCTCTAGCCGTCTCCCTGGACTGCGAGGCTGGGTTTGGGCTCCTTGGAGGGCCCCTGGGCACTAGGCCTTGACTGGCATGCAGGTGCCTCCTTGCTCCTTAGCACAGGCAGTAGAGAGTGGAAGAGAGAGGGAAAGACAGAAACGTCAATGTAAGAGAAACACATAGATTGGTTGCCTCCTGCATGAACCCCAACCTGCCCAGACCTTTTGGTCTTCCTGTTGATACTCTATCCACTGAGCCAAACCGGCTAGAGCTTCCTGAGTGTTTTTAACTTAGCTGAGACAATATTCTGTGTCCTACTTCTTTCTTTGTTTCCTTTTCTCTGTCTGTCTTAGTATTTTGTAACATTTTCTCATGGTAACAGATTTTGTAACATTTTCTCATGCTGATAAACTTTATAGCATTTTCTCATGCCCTTAAAGACTAAAGAAACATTTGTAATGCTGCTGAGCATCGCCCATTAGCTCCTCCACACTCAAACATGGGTGCAGAAACTGTTTCAGTCCTCAACTTGGTGAGGTCCTGGGAGGGAATTCTTGCCGGGGGGCTGGAGCCTTCCAGGGAAAGAAGCTCTGTTCCAGTGTTTTCCTGTCTTAACTTATCTGGAGGAAAGAGTCACAATGTGTGAAGGACCGGAATGCCTTTCCTGGTGCGTTTGAGCATCCTTCACCCCTTCACGGGTCCCCAGGTAAGCGTGGCAGGCAGTTCTGGGCTCACAGCGCCCCCTGGTGGCTCCCCGTGTTGGCAGGCTGCTGGGTCAACTTGGGAATTGCTGTACTTGGGGCCCCACCTCCACAGTGGGGACAGAGTGGGAAAGCCAGGGGAGGAGGAAGTTGTAATGTCAATAAAAATCAGTCTGGCTGAAACTGGTTAGGTTCAGTGGAATATCGGCCTGCGGACTGTGTTCGATTCTGGTCAAGGGCATTTACCTTGGCTGTGGGCACATCCCCGGTAGGGGGTGTGCTAGAGGCAGCTGGTCAATGTTTCTCTCTCATCAATGTTTCTAGCTCTCTATCCCTCTTCCTTCCTCTCTGTAAAAAAAATCAATAAAATACACTTTTAAAAAAGATATAAATAAATAAAAAAAGAACCTTCTTCTTAAAAAAAAATAAAAATCAGCCTGGCTGACGCGGCTCAGTGGTTGAGCATCATCTATGAATCAGGAGGCCACAGTTCCATTCCAGGTCAGGGTATGTGCCCAGGTTGCATGTGCAGTGGGGGCGTGCTGGAGGCAGTTAATCACTGGTTCTCATCAATGATGTTTCTTTCTCTCTCCTTTCTGAAATCAATAAAAATGTATTTCTTAAAAAATTAAAGAGAGGAACCAGCCCTGAGGACTTGGAGGCTGAGGGGCTGCTGACCGTAGCCCTGCAGTGTGCTGGGGCCTGGCCCCTGCCTCTTCTTCAGGCTCCAGAGGATAGGATCACTAGCAGAGACCAGTGAGGGGCATGTGGCACACTGAGGGAGTGGCGCTGGGGTCCTGTGCTGGCGCCAGCACAGTGGCAGGTAGGTGGGCCCCTCTGCCCCCTCACTGCAGGGCTTACCCGCTCAGCGGCCAGCGGAGCTGAGCCTGCCTGGAGGAACCACTGGGGCCAGATGACTGGGCACAGCCTGGTGGGAAGAAAAGGCTTTTCCTCTGGCGATAGTCTCCGACAAAGGCCTTTCTACTGGAAGTGGCTTGCTGTGGGCTATTATGCTGCTCCTTCCCAAGCAGGGAGGGTCCTGAAGGGCAGCCGGGAATGACCGCATGTTTCTCCATCTCTTCACGTCCAGGCAGAGAATGGTGCCCTGGATCCACCCCTGGCTGGCCTATGTGCTCACCAGACATTGCACCTGCCAGTACCTGCCCCAGGGCCCTCCCCTCCCACCCTCTCATCCCCGTTAGGCCGTCCTCCCTCTCCCTCTCCTTCCATCACCTTCTCCTGGGTCCCCCCGGTGGCTGTCCTGAAGAGGTGGCTCTTGTAGGTCTTTGTGACACTCTGTGGGGATACAAGCCGCCTCCCCTGGGAAGGACGGCTGTGTGGCTGGCATTTGTGGACCTCACACCCTCCAGACAGGTCAGAGGGTCCCCACTCCCTGTTGTAGGTTTTTAACACCCCCTGCTGGACACATGCTCCATGCTCTGGGCCCTAGATGGAGGAGGGGAGCGTCCTGGGACTGTGGGACCCCATCTGCAGGTGACGAGAGAACATGGGACCGCCCCTGGAGGGGGCGCTGTGGAAAGGGCTCGACTGAGGTCACACAAATGAGTGGCAGTGTGTTTGTAGAATGCTGACAGCAGGCATTGTCACATCGAGTCAGCGACTGAGCCCGCACCCCCAGCCTCCGGCAGGCACCGTAGATGCACCACATCCTGCACTCACGTCTGCTTCTCCCTCAGATGCTGGATGAGAACCATCACCTGATTCAGTGTATCCTGGACCATCAGAGCAAGGGCAAGACGGCCGAATGTGCCCAGTGAGTGAGCTCTCCCGCAGCTCAGCTGTCAGGCGGTACAGACTGCCCAGCGCTGGAAATGCCTCCTGTGGGGGTGCTGAGTGGCCTGGGCATATTGGGCTTTGGAGGTCACTTAAGCCACTGAGCGTCACCCCTGGAGGGTGATCGCATTGCCCCCCCAGTTGCTCCCCAGAGAGGTGAAGGGAAATGGAAGTATGGGAGGAGAGGGCCCCTGGCACCTCTGTGAGCAGTTGAGGACACACTGGGGACAGGGGGCTCCATCCAGGGAAGACCTCCAGGGCTGGACACAGAGTCAGTGCACAGGCTGGGCATCAGAGCTCCCTGGCAGGAGACTTGTGTGAGTGGCCATCACACCCCCTGGGCACTCCTCCCAACGCCTGTATGCCAGGGGCATCTGCAGAGGGCTTGTCCGTACCTCTGAAGAAGCCGGGTCCCCCTTGGCCACCACCTTGAGTTTGTTGTTGGACGGGCACCCACTCCCCACCTGCCCATCTGGGACTGCAGAGCACTGCTGCTTGCCTTGTCCCCAGGTGCCCAGTGTCCCCGGGCGGATGCAGGGTAAGCTGTCCTGGGTGAACTTTGCTTTGGGTTGGCCTGCGGGCTCCCCTGCTTACCACACGCCCCTTGCCTGCAGGTACCAGCAGATTCTGCACCGGAACCTGGTCTACCTGGCCACGATTGCGGACTCCAACCAGAATATGCAGTCCCTGCTGCCCGCCGTGAGTGCCCAGGGGGCGGGGCGGCTCCCACCCTGCCTGGCACAGTCAGGCACTGCCTCAGACCGCCAGCGAGGGAGCATAGGTCTGAGGTCTTGCCTGGCATTGCCAAGGTCACCAACGGGGTGAGAAGGGGCAGGCCCTCCCTTGATGAGGGAAGTCAGCTGGACAAGTCCCTGCAGTGACTGCTGGTTGGTGGTCGTTATTTGAACTGACCCTCCTCCCCGTAACCTCCTTTTGCCCACAGCCGCCCACCCAGAACATGAACCTGGGCCCCGGAGCGCTGTCCCAGAGCGGCGGCAGCCAGGGCCTGCATTCCCAGGGCAGCCTCAGTGACGCCATCAGCACCGGCCTCCCCCCCGCCTCCCTCATGCAGGGCCAGATCGGCAACGGTAAGCACCCTGGTTTGGGGTTAGGGTTTGTGGTTGGTTCTGGCAACAGTGTCACCAATGCAGGATCCCAGGCAGCCACCTGGGACAGAGAAGGAGGCCCCTCTCTCCAGAGGCTCTGGCTGCGGGCCAGCTGCAGTGCCAGGTGCAGGGGCGGGGTGACACTCAGTCCTCCTGTCCTCCTGCTGAATGTGCACCTCAGGTTAGGTCCCGAGGGACTTTCTGGGGAGAATGGGCATGCTCCTGTCTGCAGCAGCACTGCTGGCCGCTGGGGCTGTTAGTGACGGCACAGGGCGTATGCCTGAGGAAGCGGGTGCCGGGCAGAGAGCCCTGGTCTGCCGTCAGCGGTGGCTTTGGGAGGGCTGAAGGCATCCTCACCTGTCTCTCCTGGCAGGTCCGAACCATGTGACCTTGCAGCAGACAGCACAGAGCACGCTGCCCACAACCTCCATGAGCATGTCCGGCAGCGGCCACGGCTCCGGGCCCGGCTACAGCCACTCCGGACCCTCCTCGCAGAGCGTGCCCCTGCAGGGCCAAGGTGCCATCAGCAACTACGTGTCACGGGCCAACATCAACATGCAGTCCAACCCAGGTAGCACCCCGCCCGGGCCCAGCCCGCGTGCACACCCGTCCTCGGGGCCCTCCAGAGCGTGCAGGTCACACACAGACTGCCCTGCTAGGCGCGGGCTGGTGCTGAGGGGGAGCTCCCCAGGGTCGGGGGTTGGTGAATACAAGTCAGGCAGTGCCCAGCTTTGGGGGACTGGGAAGGCTCTGCAGAGCATGCCTGGGTTCTGCTGAGAGGACAGGACCGGGCTCACTTGGGTGGGGGGAAGGCACAGTGGGGCAGAGAACTACAAAGGCAAAGGGGTGGCCAGGGCCCCCAGAGCTGGGCTGTCCAACATGGTGGCCTCAGGTGCTGAGTACTCCGGGAGCATCAGGTGCAAACAAGTGTCCCATGAGAATCAGACACGGGTTCCAGAGCCAGCCCAGAAAAACGGTGTGAGGCGTACTCAATGTGCTAGTAATAATTATATATGGACATGATCATATTTCGGGTCTATTAAGTCAGATGGAGCCTATTACTAAGACATAGCTCATCTGTGTTTTTCCACTCGTTTGTTAATCCTCACACAGAATATTTCCCATTGGTTTTAGAGGGAGTGGAAGGGAGGTGGACAGCAGTGTGAAAGACATTGGTTGCCTCCACGCGGGCCCCTGACCTGGGCTGGGGATCAAAGCCGCAGCCCAGGGACATGCCCTTGACCAGGAATTGGACCTGTGACCCTTTGGTCCACTGGCCAATGCTCTGACAAGTGAGCAACACCACCTAGTTAGGGGTCTCTTAGCTTTTTTTTGTTTTAATTCTCACCTGAGGACATTTTTCCACTGATTTTTAGAGAGTCAAAGAGAGCGGGAAAGAGAGAGAAAAACTTCTATGTGAGAGAAACACTTAGATTGGTTGCCTCCCACATGCACCCCGACCAGGGCCTGGGCCGGGGAGGAGCCAGCAACCGAAGTTAGTGCCCTCAACCAGAATTGAACCCAGGACCCTTCAGTCTGCAACCAACGCTCTGTCCACTGAGCCACACCAGCTGGAGCTCTTTTCACTCTTGACGTGACTCACATCCGTTATGCTGGGCGTTGCTGAGGGAGAACTCTGAGCAGGGTGACGGAGTGGACAGGCAGGTGGTGGGTGTCCAGATGGCCTGGGAGCCTGTGGCATCCTCGGAATGTCACCGGTGAGAGCTGGTGCAGAGGCTAGCTGGTAGGCAGTGAGACAGGGAAGAGAGGAGACCACCTCTAGGTAGGCAGTGTCCCAGGGGTTCCGGGAAGGCTTGCCTGGGAGAACAGCGCCTTCGGGCCTGGGCGAGGGGGTGAGTGCTGCCCTGGGAACTTCTCGGGGTTATTCGGGTCTGTCGTGTCGCCCAGTGTCCATGATGCATCAGCAGGCTGCCTCGTCCCACTACAACTCGGCGCAGGGCGGGAGCCAGCACTACCAGGGCCAGCCCATCGCCATGATGGGCCAGAGCGGGCAGGGGAGCAGCATGATGGGGCAGCGGCCCATGGCACCTTACCGGCCCTCCCAGCAAGGTACCACCATGCGCCCGCAGTCCATGTTCTCCCTTCCAGTGTGTGTGTGTGTGTGTGTGACGCCACACGTTTTTGGTGTTGCACAAGGAGGGTGCCGTGAAAGAGTGTGTGTGTGTGTGTGTGTGTGTGTGTGTGACGCCACACGTTTTTGGTGTTGCACAAGGAGGGTGCCGTGAAAGAGTGTGTGTGTGTGTGTGTGTGTGTGTGTGACGCCACACGTTTTTGGTGTTGCACAAGGAGGGTGCCGTGAAAGAGTGTGTGTGTGTGTGTTTGTATGTGTGTGAGACACCACACATTTTTGGTGTTGCACAAGGAGGGTGCCGTGAGTGTGTGTGTGTGTGTGTGTGGCACCACACGTTTTTGGTGTTGCACACGGATGGTGCCGTGAGTGTGTGTGCGTGTGAGACACCACACATTTTTGGTGTTGCACAAGGAGGGTGCCGTGAGTGTGTGTGTGTGTGTGTGAGACACCACACGTTTTTGGTGTTGCACAAGGAGAGTGCTGTGAGTTGGAGCCTCGCGGGGCCAGGAAACATGGAAGTTTGAAAGCTGTCTCCGCAGGGGGTGGATGAGGCTGGAGCGCTCAGTGGGGTCACGGGTGGCTGGTGGCTGCAGAGGGGTGGGCAGCTATGGCTAAGCCACAGCCCAGGGTGTGGAGGGCTGCGTGTGGGGCAGTGCATGGTACCCCCAACGGCAGTGTGGTGGGGCGTCTCCACGTGTGGCCCGTCGAGGTGGTGTGGTGTGTTCGCTCACAGCCCGCCTGCCCGCAGGCTCGTCGCAGCAGTACCTGGGCCAGGAGGAGTACTACGGGAGCGAGCAGTACGGCCACGGCCAGGCAGCGTCGGAGCCGCTCAGCCAGCAGTACTACGCTGATGGTGAGCCCCGGCACGCCTCTGCCCACCGGCATCCGGTCCCTGTGTCTGAGTGACGGCACCTGTCTCGGCCACTCGCCTCCGTGGGCTGCTGGTCCCTTCCTCAGAGACGGTGAAGCAGGGCAGCTGGGGGACACGGAGCAGGTAGCTGCAGCTGCTCCAGGGGAGGGCGCAGTGGCCTGGGAACTGCCTCCAGGAATGTGATGGGCCGGCCGCTGCTCATGTCTGTGACACTCGGCTCCCAGCTGTCAGTCTCTTCCCGCCGAGGGTTTTCCTCTTCATCGTCCTCTCAGTAGTCCCGGTGTGGCAGGTGGCATTACGGGGTCGGAGGGGATGGCTGGGGAGGACTCCCAGACAGCCAGCCGGCAGGATCAGGTTGGGGTAGTGGAGACTAGCACGGGGCTAGCCAGGCTCGCCACATAGCGTCAAGGTCTGCGGGGCACAGCACCCCAGATGGGATCCCCCATAGCAGACAGCGGATCTGGTGCCAACGGCCATGGTGCCTGCCGAGACTGAATGTAGTCAGTCCTCAGGGCACCGAGGGCCGTGTGGCCATCTGCGTTTCACTTACAGGGACCATCGGTGGGCTCCGTCATGGGCTCCGTCTGTGGGAAGCTGATTGTGCCCGGCTCTGGCCACTACCCCACCCCAGAGCACTGCCCGCCCCTGGTCTGGTGGGTAAGTCCCTGACTGCCAGCCGTCCGTCTGCTTGCAGGGCACAGCGATTATGCCTATCAGCAGACGTCCTACTCAGAGCAGAGCTACGACCGGTCCTTCGAGGAGTCCACGCAGCACTACTATGAGGGCGGTAAGCACAGCACCACGCGGGAGGGTGGTGTGCCCTCTGAGATGCTGGTTCACGGGCACCGGGCATGCTCAGAGCAAGGCCAGGGCTCTGTGGGGCCACATCGACTTCTGGAAGTGGGTGGGCAGGCGGGGTCCTGCTCGCCTAGTGTGGTCATGCAACAGGAGTGTTGGCCACGGGGCCAGGGAACCAGGCTCTGCTCTGTGACAGGCTGTGTGTGCAGAGCAGCCCCCAAATGCTGGATTTGCCAAGAGACCGAAGAGAAGGCAGACGAGGCCAGCTGAGGGTCAGTGGTTTCACAGGGTACTACATGCAGGGACAGGTCCTGGATGGCTGCAGGGTTTTCAGATCTTCGCACCCCGCACCCTTTACCCCAGTCCACCCACTCGATGCCCCTGGAGATGGAACCACAGGTCAGGAAAGCAGTGTAGAGGGTCGGAACCAGGAAGCCAGGTTCCGGAGGCCCTGGCACCAGGGTGACCCAAGAGGTAGATGGCTAAGGGATCTGCAGCCCGTCCTGCTGCAGACACCGCTGCCTTCAGGCCGCCAGCATGATTCTCCAGACGTGGATTTGGGAGGAAATACTTGAGTTGGTTCTCGGGTGGGTGCCCGCTGCCCGGCGCCACCTCACACCCGAGAGAGGAAAAGCAGTGAACTCCCAGGGGGTGTGGCCTGGTCTGGTGGGTAAGTGCCAGGCTTCCTGCACCGGAAGTCAGAGTGGGGAAAGCAAGGCTCCTGACAGCCCCGACAACAGCAGAAATCACCCGCGTCTCCTCCACTCTGCAGGGAACTCCCAGTACAGCCAGCAGCAGGCAGGCTACCAGCAGGGCACAGCCCAGCAGCAGGCGGGGTACCAGCAGCAGTACCCCAATCAGCAGAGCTACCCGGGCCAGCAGCCAGGCTACGGTAAGAGGGCGCCCAGCCCGCACCCCCTGCACTGACGGGTGGTTTAGGGTTTATTGTGGGAGAGTTGTCGTTGACAGTCACACTAAGGGCCCGTGTCGGCCCACAGTCGCAGTCCTAGCCCTCGGGGCTCAGACCTCACTGGTTTCCCGGAATGTCCTTTCTGGCCGGTACCCGCTGGGCCCACAGACTCCCCGCTCCTCTGGGCTCCGACAGTCACTCCGACTTTCTCTTTGATTTTTGTTTTTTGTTTTGTTTTAAGTCCTCTCCCGTGGATATGTGTTTTTTTATTTTTTATTTTAGAGAGAAGAAGGGAGAGAGAGAGAGAAACATTGATATGAGAGAGAAACAGCAATTGATTACCTCCTATACTCGTCCTGATCGATAATTGAACCCAAAACCTAGGTGTGTGCCCTGACCGGACCCACACCCGCAACCTGTCCTTGGTGTGCGGAGCGATGCTCAGCCAGCCGCCCGCCAGCTCTTCTCTTCCCGCCGGCTCTCCTCTTCCTGCCGGCCGGCTGTGAGGCGGGCCGGCAGGGACTGTGCAGTGTGTCCCTCAGGCTGGGTTTGTCTGATGTTTTCTCAGGACGAGACTGGCCTGTGGGCTTTGGAAAGACCATGGAGGTGAGGTGCCCTTGTCACCTCCTGTCAGCATGACGCCTCCGATGCTGATCTCGGTCTCTGGGGTCAGGGGGGCATCTGCCAGTTACAGCTGCTTCCTCCCCCTTCTGTAATATTTGGGAGTGAGTCCCCAAGTGCAGCCCACACTCTAGGGGGGGTCTGCATGGATTATTTGGCATCCTGTCGGGAAGGTCTGTCTCCTCCACTGAGCCATTAATCACCATTTATACAAAGACTACTTCATGATCAGGCCTTGGGGGCACTTTTAGTTAAAACAGAAATGTCACAAAAATCAGTCACATGGAGAAAATGCAAAAAAAAAATAAAAAAAAATGAATTTGTAAATATAAATAATTCTATGTAGCACATTCTCAGATTATAGCGAAGTAACACTCAAACTATAACAAGGCCAGGCTAGCATGGCTAGGTTGAGCATCGATCCAGGAGCCAAGAGGTCACTAGTTCAATTCCCTGTCAGGCACATGCCTGGGTTCTGGACTCCATCTCCAGTGCAGGAGGCAGCTGATCGATGACTTTCATCATGGATGTTTCTATCTCTTCCTTCCTCTCTGAAATTAACATTTTTTAAAAGTAGTTCACACACACACACACACACACGTATAGTAAGAATGGAACTAAATAGTGAACAACAATGTAGAATGTTTAAAATTCTCATAAGTTACACCCAGGGGTCAGGGAAGAAATGCTATACAAAAATTACAGAATATTTTATAATGGAAACATAAAGAATTTCATAATATATGAAATGCTGCCATGTAAATGCCTGTGAGAGAGAGAGAGAAATATAACAAACTAAATCTCTAAATCCCTTTAAAGGGAAAGCAACCCACAAAATATAGAAATAGAAAAGCCAGATAAAAATCAACAAAACAGCCCTAACTGGTTTGGCTCAGTGGATAGAGAGCATCAGCCTGCAGACTGAAGGGTCCCAGGTTCGATTCCGGTCAAGGGCATGTACCTTGGTTGCGGGCACATCCCCAGTAGGGGGTGTGCAGGAGACAGCTGATCAATGTTTCTCTCTCATTGATGTTTCTAACTCTCCCTCTCCCTTCCTCTCTGTAAAAAATCAATAAAATATATTTTAAAAATAACCAGCAAAACAGAAAGAAGTCGTTATTTGTATTAGGTGACGTGGATGTTGGTCTCACATTGGGCTGTAATTCCGTGCTTATTTATTTTGTGTCCACGCCATCCCAGCGCTGGCTGCGGTGCCTGTGCTTTGTTTTCCGAGCACTTGCTTACTTACTTGCTCACAGCCAGTCTGAGCTCTCCCAGAGCTTAGCGTCCACTGTCTGCACATGTGCTCACTGGTTGCTGTGAGCGCATGTGGACCACAGGGACCACCGTGACGTGAAGCTCTCGGGGCAGCAGGCCACGAACTGGACAGCAGCTCAGCCAGCTGAGCGCACTCGCTACAGACTTGCCCAGGAGGCCTGGGTCTGCTGTCTGGAGCCTTCCAGGGGACTGGGCGTGGTGGGGTGGCTCACCACAGCTGGTGTGTCCCCAGGGCCGGCCCAGGGAGCCCCCTCACAGTATTCCAGCTACCAGCAAGGACAAGGCCAACAGTACGGGAGCTATCGGACGTCGCAGACTGGCCCGTCCGCGCAGCAGCAGCGGCCGTACGGCTATGAGCAGGCAAGCTTTCTGGATGTTTCCCCACACGTAGGTCTGCATGTCTGTCAAAACATAACAGGTTCTTCTGTGGTCACGAATAATGAGGTGGACCAGCCGTCTTCCAGGGCCCCTTCCAGGGTGTTATTCTCTGACACTGTGATGTTTTAAAAATTACCTGGTCAGACAGCTGGCTTTGTGCATGCTCAGCTCACTCAGGGTCTGGCGTTCTCTCCTGCCTCGGAGGCTCACATGTGCCCTCTCTGTGTGCCAGAGACACGGCAACTAGACACAGGTGGCCACACTTGTAGAGCTTGGGTCTCATCCCACAGAGCTGGCTGCTTGCGAGCAGGAAGGAGCCGGGCAGATAGTGCTGGAAGAGGACCTGGGGGGCTGAGGGCTGGCTCAGACCACCATAAGGCCCTCTGCTGGGAAAGCCAGTGGCTGCCCTGCCCGCTTGTTTGCCTGTTACACCTCCTTCCTGTCTCATCCTGCACAGTGGCTGGGCGGGCCTTGTGCGTGTGTCTGGGAGTAATCTCTGTCCTGGTCTCTTGCAGGGCCAGTATGGGAATTACCAGCAGTAAGGACAGCGTTCTTGTGGAGCCTTGCAGCGGTGTGTCCATTTGGCATGGACGGACCTGTGGCGGTTCTGACAGACTGTGGCCCATCAGTTCCCCCTTTGCCCCACATGTGTCGCATGTGAAGTGTGCACATTTCATGCTGGGTATGACGCCGAGTGTGCCAGAGGCTTGGGACTGCACACCGATGGTGTGATCTACCTGGTGCTGAGTATGACCACGTGGTGAATGGAGACGTTGATGTTTCTAGCTAGCTTTAGGGTGCTCTTGCCGTCGGAGTATTCTGTGCCCAGCGACGGAAATCTGTAAGATGCCATAGTCAGTGTGTCATGTAAACAGGTCGTAGGTCCAGCTCTCCTCACGCAGGGTCACATGGGTTGTAAAGCTGTCACTGGGACCCCGCAGCTGGACATGCTCACACAGCCCTGGGTGCAGCCTCTTCCCGGCCTCAGTGGGGAGGGGCTTTGTCTGTGTTTGGGGTCTGTTTCTTGTTTCTTTTAAAGGCTGCGTATGTTTCATGCGGAGAAGCTGCGAACAGCCAGGTACCTCTCGGAGTTCATTACCTATGTCTCTCACTGAGTCCATCTATCCAAAAAGTGACCTGCTCTCCTTTTAAAGTGTGAAGCTGCAGATACGAGTCCATGAAGGCAGCCATCTTTAGCCTATCCCCAGGAGGCAGTGCCAGCGGGCAGAGGAGCTTCTCTGACATGGCTTGGGCTCCAGCCCATGTTTACCTGATGGTCATTCTGGGGGTTTGGACATTAAATGTGCCCATTCTAAATTTTTCCACACAGTTGGCAAGTTCGCTTTGTTATTTCTTCCGGGACTGCTCGTGTAGGTCTGCAGGCAAGCCTCCTTTTCTTTTAGGGACGTCTGAAATGCACGCCTCATTTTAAAAAGAACCCCACTGAAGGTATTGTGGTGTTCCTAGTGAAAAGGAAAGTTTTTACATAGAGAAATGTGAATAATTTTTACGTTCCCAGGATGTTAAATCCTATTTAAATTCTCGGCAAGCATTACTGATAGCTCACTTGGAAAAGGCTGGTCAGAGGAAAAAAAAAATCCTACTTTCACTAAGTAATACTGACATTTTATCAATCTCAACTTGGGTGATTCCTGCTTTTACTGTGAATTCTTTAAGAACATCTTTGGGTGAATGCTGACATTTCCAAGAACAACCAAGAAAATACAAAACATATCCAATTCTTGATATATCAGCTATACTAAGATAGAAGCGTTTATTTTAGAGGTATATTGGTTTTAAAAACCCTAAACACTTGTAAGGGCTTAAAAATATATATCTATATTAAGTGGCTGAGATGAGAGTTCTTATTTGGTAAATGACACAGACATTAGTAGTGTCATCTCCTTTGATTTTGTTTTGTTCTTCCCTGACAGTTGTCATAAAACTAATTTGTAGACACAATCAGGAACTAAAATTTCCCATTGAAAATGTTAAACATTTTAGATAACAGTGAAACTAGGTTATTTTTATTTCTTGCTATCCTGGGAATATGCCTTTTATGTGTGTAGGTTGGCTTTTTTTAAATGAACACTTTTTTGAAAGAAAAGGACACTTGAAAGTTATCCTGAAACTTCAAACTGAAATGTCTTACATTAAGAATTTCTTGAATGTTGTGTATATATTTTAAAAAGCACTTTGTGAAATAGTTTGTACATTTATTTCCTTATTTATACATGATTTTTGGTGTTAATATATTTAAGGAGTAATAACAGAATGTTTATTTAATGCAGGGGTGGGGAACGTCTGGCCCAAGGGCTGTATAAGGTCCGAGAAATCATTGGGTCTGGCCCTGCCAAGGCAATCAGGGGGGAGTTAATTAAATGTTTGACCAAATAGAGCAGGCTGATTTTTAAGTTGATAATTTTGCATGGCCTGTGAATGATGTTATAAATACCCAGATGGCCATTGGCAGGAAAAAGGTTCCCACCCCTCGTTTAATGTGTTGTCTGTGTTTATGTGACATTGTAGAGAAAAAGTGATGCCAGCAATTCGTTGTTGTTAGCTGTGTAATATTTTCTCTTCTGTGATGTGACTGTTTGCAAAAATTAGGCTAAAATGAACTGTCTGTGCAGTGGGCGGGCTTTGTTTTTATGATTACTTCTGCAGGTCAATGCGAGGCAGAGGGAGATGTGGGAAGGGGTGCTGGTCCTGCCTTCTGTTGTTCCTGACACTCAGCAGGTCTTGAACTTGAAAAATGACCTCAGTTTTCAGAAGTGCCGACAAATTCATACTGGTGTGCAAAAGCTCAGCACCCATTGGGGTTTGTTTGGGATCCACAGGTGCTGAAAGTACTTGGAACTCATGTGGAGAATCGGGGGCCTCACATCGAGGTGTGCATGGTCTCCAGACCCTCCAGGGACGCCTTCCTGTGCTCCTGCTGTTGGAGCCTAAGTGGGCCTCGGAGTTTGCCAACGTATATATGTATTTGAATATTGGGCACCCGCTCAGAATTGCACAAAATGGAAGACCATTTTCATTTCCATTTTAAAATGTTTAGCCATTACTTCATTTCTACTTACTGAACAGGTCAAACTCATCTGTGAGCACAGGACTTTTTCAGAGATCATCCTTATTGTGTGTTTTTTTCCAGCCGGCAGAGTTTGGTGTATAAATTGTTTATGCTTTTGGTGTAATTAATAAACTGTTTCTTCAAAAGTCACTCTAAAAAGTGAGTTTTCATGACGTTAATGGGATGCTGCGTGACTTGTAGCTGGACCCAGGCGTCTGTCTCCATGCTGAGTCACCTTCCTGGGAAACCTGTTACCTGGGTGCTGTCCAGCGGGCACCTCCGGGCAGGCTGTCCTGTAAGGCCTGACAACCACAGCGGCAGGGAGCTGACCCAGGACACTGTCGCATTGTCCCCTACAACGGCACCCCTCCCCGGAGCTCCGGCCGGTGGTCAGAGGGAGGGGGATGCTCGGAGAGTGTGAAGGTCGGGTATGCGATGGGAGGGCCGGTAAGGTCATCGGAGACCACACCCAGACGAGACGACGGAGAAGGTTGAGACCGGCTGGTGGGCCGGGTCCAGAGCAGATGCCCGGAGGTTGGAGGGACACCGCTCCGCGGGGCGGGATACGCGCGGGGAGGCGCTGCGCGTGCGCAGTCCAGGCCGGCCCCCGGAAGGGATTCGCGCGGCCGCGGCCCCGGAAGTGACGAGCCCTCCCGAGTAGGTGAGTGCGTGCCAAGCGGCCGCTACCTCGGGAGCCCTGGCCGGGGGCGCCGGGAGGAGGGAGGAGGCCGTGAGCGGCACCGCGGCCCGAGCAGGCGACCCCCCAGCCGCGTCCCGCGTGTGGCGGGTCAGCCGCCGGGCGTGAGCGCGGCCCTGGGAGCCGGCGGGCGGCGGTGCGCACGTGCGACCCGCCCGCGGGGCCTGCGCAGGCCCCGCTCCTGGCCCCGCGGTCAGGCTCCGGTTTAAGGAGCTCAGATGTTCTTTTTGGCGCACGGACCTAAATACCAAACATTGTCCTCTGGGTGCTTCTTTGTATGGTTGTGGCACAGAATAACGTCAGCAGCACCTGTTCTTAGAAACATTTCATTAAATTCTTGTTGCAAGGGCGGTTTTCCATGAATTCCCTTACCACGGCCGCCCTTGGCGGAGGGAGGCGGTGCAGTTCCGCTCTATGGCCGTGGGCGGCGGTCTCGTGCTCACCCCGCGGGCGGGCGAGGATCGGCGTCCCAGAGGCGGTGCCTTTGTTTTGTGCAGGAGAGGACCCCGCGGAAAGGAGGAAGGGGAGGCAGAACGCGATTCTCCTAAATGCAAGTGTGCTTTCAGACCTGTGTAAGCAAAAGCTGAGAAGCGGAACACTGGTTCCTTTGAAGTTACCTTGGGAAATGGCTGTGTGTGCACACTTCATTTTGAAGATTCCTGCTGTGAGTACAGGCCCAGCGCCCTGCCGGTGAGGCCAGAGGTCACTAACTTTGGGCAGGTCGCGTCACCTCTGAGCCCCAGCCTCTCCCGCTTTAAAACTGGCATTAAAAATGTAAGCTCAGGAATCACGGCCCCATCACATTGGATAATTTAAGGAGGTTTATAAAGGGAGAGGAGGGAAGCGGTAGAGGTGGTGTTTCAACCTGGAGCAGTGACATTGGAGTTGCTTCCACCACTAGAGGCCAAGGCAGAAGGGGCGGGGCAGTTACCGGAGACAGCAGGGATTGAAGGGGGGCAGGGAAGTCACCCTGCTGGCCTCCTGCTCCTCCAGTCTCTGCCAGAGAACAGGGCAGCCAAGGGCAGGTCCCTGAAGCAGCAGGATGGGAAGTGGGTCTGGAAACCCAAACAGGGTACCCGCTCATACAGTTGCTGTAAGGAATAAATATGAAAATTTCCATACAACAAGGTTTAGCAGAGGTTCTCATGGCCCAGTAGAACTGAACTTCACACTCTAGGGAATAAAGTAGTTGTATCTGAAGCATAGCCCTTGCTGAGTTGACTCCCCAGTCTTCCTTAAAAAAAAAAAAAAAAAAAAAAAGTTTTTTTTCATTTCAGAGAGAAGAAGGGAGAGGGACCCTGCGAGGGGTAGAAAGAAACATCAGTGATGAGAGAACCAGCTGCCTCCTGCACAGCCTTTCTCTGCCCTGACCAGGAGTGCTCATCGATGGAGTCATGAGCCACAGCAGCTGGCGCTCTAGTGTTTCTAAAGCCTCACCCTGGGGTCAGAGTTGGTCCAACTTGGATCAGGCTTTCGTACACAGTCTCATCTTTTGTCCTCTGCCCCCTGGCCCGGTAACGTGTGGAGGCAGACTCATTCCCATCTGTGCTGTTCCGTTTGGCACCCACCGGCCACATGTGATTACGAGTGCTTGGAATGTGGCTTGAATGACAGTTTTTACATTTTCAAGTTTTTAAATTGATTTAAAGTTAGTAGCCACATGTGGCCAGTGGGTAGCTTCCTGGATAGCACAGGTACAACATTAGAAGGAAAACGAAGCCGATACCGGTTTGGCTCAGTGGAAAGAGCGTCATTACAGAATTGCTGTGAGGACTAGATGACCCAATTCCTGAAAGGCTCCAACGATAGAATCCCGCAGACAGCGAGGCAGGCGTTTCCAGTGTTGATCATTGAACTTATGTCGGAACTTTCTGTAACTATATATAAGAATACAATTGATTTTTTGTGTTAACCTTATAACCTGCAACCTTTCTTGGCTCATTTATGAATGCTAATCAGATTTTGTAGATTTCTATGGAAACAACCAGACCTTCTATATATTGTCTTTCCTTTTTTAAAAAGAATTTCTTTATTGCAGCCCTGGCCGGTATGACTCAGTCCTCTGAGTGTCATCCTATGCTGAGAGGTCCGGGGTTGATTCCTTGTCAGGGCACATGCTAGGATGTGGGCTTGATCCCCAGTAGGGGGCGTGCAGGAAGCAGCCAACTGATGTTTCTCTCCCTCTCTTTCTAAAATCAGTAACAAAATATTTTAAAAAGAAAGAAATTCCTTTAAAAACTTCTTTGTTACAGTGTCTAAAAGACAGTGTCGCACAGAAGGGGTCCCAGGCAAGGGCATCCGTGCCTTCTCCTCCCGGGCGAGCAGCTCAAGTCTTTCTCCAGTCATTGTGGTGTTGGCTGTGGCTTCTGTCGTCCCCTTCCATTCCCAGTTACATCCCAGTTCCCTGCTCGGGAGTCGGTGACTTGTACCAGAGGGTGTGACAGTCAGTGTGGCATCCACTGCTGGTGACGCCTTGTGTCCCAGCGGCCACCTGCTTGGTCCTGCGGTTGATGTGCAGGCGCAGCTGGACACAGCGCTGGCGGGATTGTGTGCCTCTGTTCTTGATGGTTTCCTTTCCGTGTGTCACATCTGGGGCCTGGGGCTTCCTGGCCGCAGGCCATGGCTTGGGTGCAGTCCCTCTCCTGTTGCCTGAGAAGGTTCATGTGAGATTGCTCTGACTACTTCTGGGATGTCTGATGGAGTTTACCGGAAAGCTGCCTGAGTCTGGAGTTATGTTACAGAGAATGTTCTTTAATAACACATTGATTCCTTTAGTAGTTACGGGTAATGGACATTTTCTGTTCTCTGTTTTCTTTGTGGGCTTTTGGTGTTGTTTTTATTTCTTCTTGTATCTTTGTGCATCTTTTAGGAACCTGCTGAGTTTGAGGCACAAGTGGTTCCTTGGTGTTCTCTTGCCCTTTGATGCCTGTAGGACTCAAGTGGGTGACTCTTTTTGTTGCTTGTTAATCCTCACCCAAAGATATTATTTTTTCTATTGATTTTTAATTTTTTTAATTGATTTTTTACAGAGGAAGGGAGAGTTAGAAACATCAATGAGAGAGAAACATCGATCAGCTGCCTCGTGCACACCCCCCACTGGGGGTTTGCCCACAACTGCGGTACATGCCCTTGACCAGCCAACGTTCCATCCACTGAGCCAACTGGTTCAGGGCATATTTTTTCCATTGATTTTTAGAGAGAGTGGGAGGGAGGAGGGAATGAAAAAGAAAAACATCAGTGCGAGATAGTTTGTACATTTATAACATGGAATTGGTTGCCTCTGCAGGAGATCAAATTTGCACTCCAGGTATGTGCCCTGTCCTTGACCAGGAATCAAACCCGAAACCCTTTGATGCGCAGGCCGATGCTCTCACTTAGCCATTCCAGCCAGGGCTCGGTGACACTTCTTATGTTTCTGGCCATGTGGTTTGTGTTCTCTTCCTTAATCCCTCTAGCGTGTGGGGTTTGGCCACTCTGCTTATATTTTATTTATCTATTTTTATTGTTTATTTTAGAGTGTGTGTGTGTGTGTGTGTGTGTGTGTTAATCCTCACCTGAGGATTTCTATTGATTTTTTTTAAAAATTTTTATTCATGCCTTTTTAGACCTACTTAGATGCATTGTTTTTATTTTATTTTATTTTTTAATATATTTTATTGATTTTTCACAGAGAGGAAGAAAGAGGGATAGAGAGTTAGAAACATCGATGAGAGAGAATCATCGATCAGCTGCCTCTTGCACACCCTCCACTGGGGATGTGCCCGCAACCAAGGTACATGCCCTTGCCCGGAATCGAACCCGGGACCTTTCAGTCCGCAGGCCGACGCTCTATCCATTGAGCCAAACCGGTCCCGGCGATTTCTATTGATTTTTAAAAATATATATTTTTAATTGATTTTAGAGAGGAAAGAAGAGGGAGAGAGACATAGAAACATCAATGATGAGGAAGAATCATTGATTACCTGCCTCCTGCATAACCCCCATTGGGGATAGAGTCCGCAACCTGGGCATGTGCCCTGAACAGAAATTGAACCTGGGACCCTTCAGTCTCCCAACTGAAGCTCCATACACTGAACCAAACCGCCTAGGGCTAGTGTTTATTGTTACTAGAGGCCCGATGCACGAAATTTGTGAAGAGTAAGCCTTCCTTACCCCGGCTGCCAGCACCAGGTGCCCGCCGGCACCTGTGACCCGGCCTAGGCTTCCATCTGGTTGCCAACAGGTACCTGGGAGCCAGGCTTCCCTTGCAGCCCCTGCTTCGTTGGGCAGGTCATCCATGAGGACAATCAGTCTAATTAGCATATTATGCTTTTATTATAATAGAAGACTAGGTTTCATACCATTAATTCATTTAATCCTCACAATCCTACAAGGTTAAGTACCAGTTATGATCCCCATTTTGCAAAGAACGGAAGCACAAGCACGTCATCCCGTCAGCTGTGCGCCCGGCATCATGTTTTCTAGGGCCGCCGTGACCAGGAGCCAGACCTTTGTTCTCTCCTGGTCTGGATGTCAGGGGCCCCAAGTCAGGTGTCAGCAGGGCCATGCTCCCTTTAAGACTCTGGGCAGAGCCGAAACCGATTTGGCTCAGTGGATAGAGCGTTGGCTTGGGGACTGAAGGGTCCCGGGTTCGATTCCAGTTAAGGGCATGTACCTTGGTTGCGGGCACATACCCAGTAGGGGGTGTGCAAGAGGCAGCTGATCGATGATTCTTTCATCGATGTTTCTAACTCTATCCCTCTCCCTTCCTCTCTGTTCAAAATCAATAAAATATATTTAAAAAAAAAAAAAAAGGCTCTGGGCAGAGCCTTGTCCGGTGGCAGCAGCCTTGCCTGGCGCTCCTTGTCTCAGCTGAGCTGCCCAGCCCCAGCCGCCCTCACCCGTGACCAGGTGCTTTTCCCTGTGTGTGCAGCGGCAGGCAGGGCTCCGTACGTTTTCGGTGGTCGGGTTTCTGTTTCGTTTGTTTTTGGTCTTTATTATTTCTCTCCTTCCGTTTACTTTGCTTTTCTCTGGTTTCTGGACATAGAACCTCACATGTGACGACACTCTTTAAGCCCTTCGTCACTAAGAGCAGTGTTTACAGCTATGGTGGCTGCCCCTTACCCACTTTCACTTTCCGAGCCCTCAGCTACCCCAGGTCAGCTGACATCCGAATGTTAAATGGAGGCCTGGTCATGTTGCTCAGTGCATAAGCATCGACCCAGGAGCCAAGAGGCCGTTGGTTCCGCTCCTGGTCCAGACCCATGCCCGGCTTGTGGACTTGATCCCCTGTAGGGGGTGTGCACGAGGCAGCCAGTCCATGATGTTTCTGTCTCATCGATGTTTCTATCTATCCATCTCTCTCTAAAAATCAATAAAAATAAATTGTTCAAAAATAGAATTGGTTCTCTCTCTTTCTTTTTTTTAAATGTTGCCTGGACAGTGTGGCTCAGTCATTGAACGTTGACCTAGGAGACAGCTGATTGGTGGTTCTCATCATTGATGTTTCTATCTCCCTCTTCCCCTTTCTCTCTGAAATTAATAAAAATATATTTTAAAGAAAGAAACGTTAAGCCCTGCTTGGTGTGGCTCAGTGGATAGAGCGTCAGCCTGCACACTGAAAGGTCCCAGGTTTGATTCCGGTCAAGGACATGTACCCTGGTTGCAGGCACACCCTCCATGGGAGGTGTGCAGGAGGCAGCTGATTGATGTTTCTCTCATCAATGTTTCTGACTCTCTAAACCCTCTCCCTGCCTCTCTGTAAAAAATCAATAAAATATATATTTTTTAAAATGTTAAATGGAAATTTCAGAAATAAACAATTCGTAAGTTTAAATTGCAACGTGTTCTGAGCAGTGTGATGAAATATTTTGCTGTAGTTTCTTTCTGCCCCACCCCCTTTTCTAGCTCCACACTCCCTATTAGTCACTTAGTAGCCGCCTTAGTTATCACAGAGACAGACACCACCAGAACCACGTCACATGACCTTATTACAGCATTTTGTTACAATGATTCTATTTTATCATTATTGTTATTAATCCCATACTGTGTCTAATTTAGTAATTGAACTTTATCATAGGTATGTATGTGTATATATATATAGAAAGAAACATAGTATCTATAGGGTTTGGTACTATCCAAGGATCAGGTGTCCCCATGGATGGGGAGGAGGGACAACTGTGAGCACTACATTACCTGCATCCCATAAACTTCAGTCGCTCGGGTCAAAATATTTTGATTTTGACTTATTCTACCTGTTGGCTTAGTTCGAAGAGCTGTTTCATTTCCAGGTTGACATTTAAGCTGCACAAGATAAGAGCACAGCATTTGCATAAATGGGTGCTTTAATTTTTTCAGTAATTTTTATTTTAGGCTCCTATTTCCTGTCATAGTTTCATTTAGCAGATACTGCATTCGATGGGGGAGTGTTTCCAGGGTCGAGAGAGGTTTGCTGACATTCCCTGTGTACACAAACCTGGCCCCAGGTAGCATGTAAGCCAACGGGTCACGTGACTCCTCGTGACTCGGGGTCCAGCATGGCAAGTGAGGGGAGAAAGTCATAGCCCGCAGTTTATTTATTTGTTCCAAAAACGCGCTGAGGTTTTAGTTTGTGTGACGGCATGTGTAAACCAGGGGCTCATTTAGCCAATGTGGCTTTTGTCAGGGAGCCATGATGTCTGGGAGGCTGTTCTCTGCAGGACCACGGCGTGTGCTGGAGGGCCTGGGGCGCTGGACTCGGGCCCCATGGGCAGCCCTGGGCCGGCTCCCCCTGCAGCGCCCCGCTCCCCGGCTGCTCTCGCTCAGTTCTGCGGACTGCGCCAAGGAACCCTCCAGAAAGAAACTGCTCTCCGAGAAAAAACTGGTGAGACTTCTGACGGGGAGGGAACTTACGGAAGCTTCCCTCTCACAGGCATTATGAGTTCTCGTCCTGTCTCCATCTGTCCTGTTGTCTGATTGAAGGGACACAGGTAGCACTTGAAAATGATGAAACTTAGGTAAAACATGAACGAGGAAAACAAACAGGAGTGGCTTTACTTTAATTCACGAGGCGCCATCCGTTTCCTCCTAATGGGCTCCAGGCCAGCAGAACTTGGAGAAGCGCCGGTGCTCAGAGCCATGTCCGTAGCATCGTCTTTGCCCAGCGGGGAAATAGAGCCAGGCTTCACCTCCAGTGCTCGTCAGTGTGCATGTTTTCATTGATGTCAGAGAGGAAGGGAGAGGGAGAGAGATGGAAACATCAGTGATGAGAGAGAATCATTGATTGGCTGCCTCCTGCATGCCCCCCACTGTAGATCGAGCCCACAACACAGGCATGTGCCCTGACTGGCAGTTGAATCATGACTACCTGGTTCATAAGTCGATGCTCAACCACAGCCACACCAGCTTGCCATCCATTGGATGGATTTTAATGTTGGCATACAGCAAAATTATATGCTAAGTTTTTAAAAGAGTAATTCGTGTTTTTTCTATGTGTGGTGCCAAAAAATCTGAAAATATTTGTGTTTTCTTAAAAAAACAATCTGTGTTGCCCTAACCGGTTTGGCTCAGTGGATAGAGCGTCGGCCTGCAGACTCAAGGGTCCCAGGTTTGATTCTGGTCAAGGGCATGTACCTTAGTTTCAGGCACATTACCAGTAGGGAGTGTTCAGACGGCAGCTGATTGATGTTTCTCTCTCATCAATGTTTCCAGCTCTATCCCTCTCCTTTCTTCTCTGTAAAAAAAAAAATCAATAAAATATATATTTTTAAAAACCGAACTGTGCATCAGGTGGAGGGGCAAATGCTCTGGGTCTGGCGGAGGGCCGGGTGCTGGCCAATCTCTGTGCACACAGCGCACAAAGCAGGTGGACTCCCAGGACTGGATGGCCTGCCGGGTGGTGCCTCGGTGCCTCGCCCTGGCTTCTCGGGTAGCTGAACTTGTTGTTGGAACCAATAGCTATTCAGCAGTCACCTGCTTGGTTTCAGTGCTTTAGCTGAAGAGACCTGGAGAGAAACACCCTCCCATCGGCGCGCTCTGCATCGCTGAGCTTACAAAGGAGCCCTGTTCGGTCAGGCCCAGAAGATGCCCTTTAGTGATGTGCTTCTGTTTGAAGAAGCTGAGACAACGCTGTTTCAGGAATATTTTCTAAACAACCCTGTTTCCTCCAGTTGGGCACGTTGAGTCTCATTGAGTGTGTTTTCCTTACCGGCCACTTCTCACATCTGCCGGGCTGTTTCTTAGATTTGCACTTTAGGAGAGGTTAGTGATAGTAACATCATTGGCCTCTAATTTTAAAGCCCACGTAGGGAGGAGAGGCGCTCCAGGAGCTGCTTGGTTAGAGGATTGCAGCATTCGTGACGAACCGGATCTGTGCTCTCTGCAGAAAAGCCATTTCGTGGACCATCGCCGGGTGCTTGTCCGAGGGGGACGCGGAGGCGACGGGGTGAGCTGCTTCCACAGTGAGCCCCGGAAGGAGTTTGGGGGTCCCGATGGTGGCGATGGAGGCAACGGTGGCCACGTCATCCTGAGAGGCAGGTGCTCTGGGCAGCTGGCGGGACCACTCTCTGCACACGTGGGCAGGAGTTCCACCTCATCCTGAGAGGAGTTTGAATTCAGAAGTTGATGTATGGATATCATTTTGTTACATTATACGAATGTTTACATTTAAAAAATGCACCAAAACCCAACTTTTATAGTGGGGTTTAAGAAGAATTCCAGGTACACAGAGATAACATAGTCAGAGGGGAAATGTATGTTACCATCTAGGCAAGTGCTGGGAGGGTATTGATTATTCCGTACCTTTTGAGCACAGATGCTAGTAAACTGGAAACTTAGTAAATATCTGAATAATAAAATGTAACTACTTTTAAATTGGAAACATTTCCAACTAATAAAATGTAGCTATTTAAAAATTTATAACAGGTAATTTTGAATTTTTCAGAAATTATAATATTTTTTGAAAGAAGATAAGAATTTATAGCTTTTTAAAATACCACTTTGCTACTTTAGTAACTTCTGCTATAGCTTTGTTCTGTTTCCATGTGCATGCCTAATGTTTCTGAACTAGACAAAAGAAAGTTAACAATATGCAGCCGATTTTTTTTAAGTAGACTTGTATTTTATTTTATTTTTATTGTTGGCACTATTATTATGGAGACTTTATTTTTAGTTTTTGTTTTGTTTTGAAAATATATTTTTATTGATTTCAGAGAGGGAGAGATAGAAACATCAATGATGAGAGAGAATCATGGATCGGCTGCCTCCTGCACAACCCCTGCTGGGGATCGAGCCTGAGACCCGGGCATGTGCCCTTGGCGGGAATTGAACCTGGAACCCTTCAGTCTGCAGGCTGATGCTCTGTCCACTGAACCAAACCAGCTAGGGTTTGTTTTTAGTTATTTTTTAATCCTCACCCAAGGATAATTTTCCATTGATTTTTAGAGAGAGTGGAAGAGAGAGGGAAAGACAGAAATATTGATGTGAGAGACCACATCGATTGGTTGCTTCCTGCATGAGCCCCAATCAGGGCCTGTGGGGGAGGAGCCAACATCCGAGATACGAGCTCTTGACTGGCATTGAACCAGAGACCCTTTGGTCCACAGACCAACACTCCATCTACTGAGCCAAACCAGCTAGGGCCCGATTTTGTTTTTAACACAAAGAAACATGTAGGTTTTCTCTTTTAGTCGACCGACAACTCAAGTCACTGTCCTCAGTCCTGTCCCAGTACCGGGGCTTTGATGGAGAAGACGGTGGCAGTAAAAACTGCTTCGGGCGAAGTGGCGCGCTCCTCTACGTCCGGGTAAGCCCCAGCTGCAGAGCATGCCCTGCCCCAAGTCCAGGCCTTCAGGCTCCTCAGGCGCCGAGCTGTGGTCCACAGCGGCCCGAGGCCTGAACCATAGCCATCTCCCACAGAGCAAACCCAGCCTGAGCTTTGTACCGATTTTTATACCATGTGTGTATGACCTGTTCAAAAAGTCACAGAAAGCGTCCTGGCAGGATCGCTAAGTGGTTAGAGTGTTGGCCTACGGACTGAAGGGTTGCGGGTTTGATTGCTGGTCAAGGGCGTGTACCTTGATTGCAGGTTCAGTTGGGGCTCCAGCAGGAAGCTACCAATCTGTGTGTCCGTGTGTCTTTCTCACATCAATATTTATTTGTCTCTGTCTCTTTCTCTCTCTCTCTGCCCTAATCCCCTCTCTCCCTCTACCCCCTGTTCCTTCCACTCTCTAAAAATCAATGGAAAAGATATCCTCATTCCTCTGGTGAGAATTTTTTTTTAAGTCTCAAAGTCATTACATTTTACAAAAAGGAAACCCACAGGGTCCCCGTCTGTCTCACCTTGGCCCAGGAGCCCCCTGAGCACTGCTGCTCTCACGTTAGCTCGGCGTTCCTGCTGCTTCCGCTCACCTCCTGGGAGAAACACTGAAAGCTGTGTGCACAGTTCTCTGGGGAGTCCCCAGCCCCGTGAAATCCTTGGAGGGCTGGGACCTTCCTCCTGGAACTCAGTGGCTCTGGGGGGCTCCTCTCCCAAACAGGAAACACCTGGTCTGGCCATTGTCTTCCTGCTCCCGGACAAAAGCTGCGTTATTTTTCAGGTCCCCATGGGCACTTTGGTGAAGGAGGGGAACGAAGTTGTGGCCGACCTCTCACGCCCCGGGGAGGAGTATGTGGCTGCTCTGGGGGGGGCAGGAGGAAAGGGCAACCGCTTTTTCCTGGCCAATGACAACCGCGCGCCCGTCACCTGCACCTCCGGGGAGCCTGGGCAGGAGCGGGAACTCTTCCTGGAGCTCAAGACCATGGCCCACGCTGGCATGGTGGGTACCGCTGGGAGCCCCGGTGGGAGGAGGGGGTGCTTTGCACACTGAGCTGTGGAAAGCGGTTTCTAGTGGGTGGGGCATGTAGGGGAGAACAACTCACCCCAGTTGACGTCCTATGACCTTGAACGTGGCTGGGCCCTGACCTGTGTGGTTCCCAGTTCTGAGAGTCACCGATTTCTGTCTGTCCCAGCGGAGGGAATGGTAGCACATCCCCCTGTCTTGCAGGTCGGATTCCCCAACGCAGGCAAGTCCTCGCTTCTCCGGGCCATTTCAAACGCGAAGCCCGCCGTGGCTGCCTACCCGTTCACGACCTTGAACCCTCATGTGGGCATTGTGCACTATGAGGACCACCAGCAAGTAGCAGGTAGACCTCCCAAAGGTGGGATTGTGAGGTGGGTCATTCGGAACCGTTAGCAAGCAGCTTTCTGCCTAGAAAGCAGCAGCATCTTTCCTAAGTTAGCAGTTGTGATTCTGTGGCCACAGTTAGGGTTTACACTTTCTTCCCACCCCATCTGACGCCTGGGGGTGCAGCCAGAATTAGAATGTAAATTCCTGACCTGGAAAGGCTGTTCAGCATGCCAGTCATGGAGCCCACTGTGAATTTTAGAGCTTTCGTGTTAACATTCTGAGATAGAGAAACTTTCCCCAGAAGATAACGAACCCATTAAAAATAGCAAGCCCGCTGGTAGGTAGCTCTGTGGCACTTTCCGTTCGCCAGGAACTCTGTGATAATCAAATCTATCAGTAATCGAGTTATTAATGGGTTACAGAAAGCTGGGTCCTCCTCTTAAAATCATTTTTGAAGCCAGAAAGATTGGAATGTGTAATTCAGGTGAATAAATATTCCTTATTAGATGGATCTGTCACTGTGCCTGTTACCCAAATATTTCCAAGCATCTTGTGAAATGTCTTCATGGCAGTTGGCCTGATGAGTCACCGAGACAATAACTGGATTGACTTGGGGTTTAGGTGTTCCTTGAAAGGGAAGTCTCAGACCTCGGGGAACGGGCCGGAGGCGGCCCGGCCCTGCTCTGTCTCCGCAGTGGCGGACGTGCCGGGCATCATCCGAGGCGCACACCAGAACCGCGGCCTGGGGCTGGCCTTCCTCAGACACATCGAGCGCTGCCGCTTCCTCCTGTTCGTGGTGGACCTGGCCGTGCCGGAGCCCTGGACCCAAGTCGAGGACCTGAAGTATGAGCTGGAGAAGTACGAGCAAGGCCTGTCTGAGCGGCCCCACGCCGTGGTCGCCAATAAGATTGACCTCCCTCAGGCGCGAGCCAACCTGCCCACGCTGCAGGCCCGCCTGGGCGGGAAGGCCATCGGCCTGTCGGCGCTCACGGGGGAGAACCTGGAGGAGCTGCTGCTGCGCATCAAGGAGCTGCATGACGAGCACGTGGCCGCCAGCCGGGCGCAGGGCCGCCAGCTGTTCCGGTGGTAGCGCGCGGCTTTGCGGTGGGAGCTGCAGGTGCACCTTCCCACTCAGCTCCGGCCGCCTCAAAGGCCCCGGCGGCCTGCTCCCGGTGCTTCCCGCGCCCTCGGCCTGTTCTCTGGCCCCTCAGATGGGCTTGTCCCCGAAGTACCCCTGAGTAGTAGGAGCCACGCTGCTCTGTGTGCAGGGAGCCAGCACAGCCAGATCCGAGCCAGAGGCACTGGTCCGGCTCCTAAGCGCCAGCCCACACATGAGCGACTGTCACGCTGGACCTGAGAGACCTTGGCTGTCCCCACGCCTGCAGAGCGGCCGGGGACAGGCGCGTGCTGTGTCGGATGCCGCCATCTGAGCAATGAGGTGCCTCCCCTGTTGTCCTCAGACTGCGCCGAGCTCTGAGAACTGAACATAGCATTGGCTTCACGACTGAATGCACCCAATATCCGGCCAGAGACGCAGCTTCTGACGCTCATCTGTGCAGAGAGTTATTAGCTGATGGTGGCCGGGCTCCGAGAGGACATGGGCCGGGTCCCCCCTGCGCTGTCCCTGCAGGGATCAGAGACTCCTGGGCCTGTACCAACAGCCTATTGTCAGCGCATAGAACCCCAGGGCCTGGCCAGCTAGTCCATGGAGATTCTGTCTGCTGAGTGGTGGCAGCTAAGAGGCTGGTGCTCCATAAGCCACCCGCCCACAGGCTGCAGGGGTCGGTGAGGGCGGCGTGGCTGCCCACTTGCTCATCTACCAGAGCACACTGCAGCCACTGTTTCCCCAAATAAAACCTAACGCTCTGACTTGTCCCTGAGGGCCCTCCGGGGAGGGAGCGGAGGGGACAGGAGGAGTCGGGAGAAGGAGCACACTGAATGGGTGTTCAGGAGTTCACGTGTGCCGGAGAGCATGCGCCCGGTCCGCTCCCCGTCTGCACGCCCGGGCCCTGCGTTCTAGAACCAGCGGTGGTGTTGGCGTCTGGTGGCTCGCTCAGGCCCACAGGCTTTCCCAGGACACGAGGCCCTTGTCCAAGGCCTTGTGTCTCGGTGGCTGCCAGGGAGATGTGCCTTCCCTCCGGGAGCACGCTGTTCAGCTGTGTCCCCGCAGCTTCGGGACCCAAGGACCGTGCACGGCAGGACAGCCGTTTGGGGAGTGAAGGTGTGAGTGAGGGCTGTGTTAGCTGTGTCCAGGCTTCCTTTACTGGGAAGACACTTGTAAAAGGCAGGTGGTGGGTGCCGAGTGGCTCACATCCTGTGCCACCGCTGCTCCTGCCCCTGCCATCCCTCCGGCCGTTTCTGGGAGTCATCTGTCCTGAGGCTGCTCAGCGGGGCACCCCGTCCACATCTCATCCATGGACAAGGACGTGCCCTGCCCCTCGCCTGGTGACGTGGTGTGCGTGTGAGGCTGGCCGTGTGCACGGGGCAGGGCGCAGACCTGGCCCGGAGCTGCCCCGCGTTTGCTGCCTCGTTTCCTCTGCCTCGGGGTGCTGTTTCTGTCCTCGGTGGCCATCGCCTGGTTGCCTCTCTGGAAGCAGGTCTGAGGATGGGGACCTGAGCTTCAGGATGCAGGGTTTCCTAAATTCCCGTTTCCAGCCCTAATTCCCAGAGTGTCTAGCTGCAGGGCTCCCCAGGGGCCAGCAGCTGCCTTGCCCTGTCCCCACTCCCCATGAGGCCCCCCTGCCCGTCCTGGAAAGCTCTCTCATTCCTCCCTTGTGTTCTGAGGAGGCTCATGCCTTCCTCACACCTGTTGTAGTGGGGCCTCAGCAGAAGCCGTGGCCACACAGGTGTCCCCTGGGCCTGGGAAAACCAGGGGAGAGCAGCCTGCTCGCTCGGAACTAGAAATCTGTCTCAGGCCGGAACTGGATTGGCTCAGTGGATAGAGCGTCGGCCTGCGGACTGAAGGGTCCTGGGTTCGATTCTGGTCAAGAGCATGTAACTTGGTTGCAGGTACATCCCCAGTGGGGGGTGTGCAAGAGGCGGCTGGTCGCTGATTCTCTCTCATCGATGTTTCTAACTCTATTCCTCCCTCCTCTCTGTAAAAAATCAATAAAATATATTAGAAAAAAAAATCTGTCTCAGCTTCAGCAGATACAAGCAGGGCCAGTGGCACGCTCTGCCCTTCCCATCCTGCTGGGCGCCTGCCCTGCCCTGACATCCAGGGTGCGAAAGCCACTGCCGTCCCCACTGAGGTGGGCCTTGCCACCCCCCTTGCCTGGCCATGAGGTGAGGACAGCTTGTTGACACCGTTCAAAGGAAGCCCAAGGACCCTGGACCCTGCGGGTCACAGAGAGGCCGAGAGGAGCGCTGCCTGGCCACCTGGCCTCGGGAAGCTGAGGGACCAGCTGGGCGGGAAGAGGGAGAAGGCAGAGGGCTGCCCTCGCTCCTGCAGCTCAGCTCTGAGCTAGGTTTGCTGGAATTGCTTTTAAAGATCATCAATTTGGGCCGAAACCGGTTTGGCTCAGTGGTAGAGCGTCGGTCTGCGGACTGAAGGGTCCCAGGTTCGATTCCTGTCAGAGGCATGTACGTTGGTTGCGGGCACATCCCCGGTGGGGGGTGTGCAAGAGGCAGCTGGTCGATGTTTCTCTCTCATCGACGTTTCTAGCTCTCTATCTCTCTCCCTTTCTCTCTGTAAAGAAATCAGTAAAATATATTTTTTTTAAAATTATAAAAAAAGATCATCAACTTGGTCCCGTTTAAATCTGGGAACTAAAGTTTGGAGTGACTTTGGGGGTCACAGATGCATTTTTTTAGTTCATTGCAGTTCCCAGTGTCACCGCTCCATCCTCATCCAAAGCCACCATTCTCCCTTCTCTCCTTTCTTTCTCTTTTGAATGACATTTTTGTCTCAGAGATTTGTTTGACAAACTTCCCACAGGGGCTCTAGCTCTGGACACAATGCCCATGTCCCTGGGGCAGTGTCCTCCCGTGAGCCCCACAGCCTGGTCCCAGACACTTTGCTCCCCATTGAGGGAGGGGCACAGAGATGGTCCATGCGAGGACACAGTGCGTGGGGACCACCTCATGGTGCCCAAGGGAGGACCCAGTGGAGTGGGCAGGTGGAGTCCCCTGACTGCTGGGTATGGGTGCATCACCCTGTCTCTGAAGCCCAGTTTTGGTGTCTTTGTAGTGGATGGGGTAGCTACAAGGATGGGGTGCTCCAGTAAATGGTGGAAAGATTTCTTGTACCCCCAAGCCCAGGCGTGAGGGTCTGGCTGGGATTGGGGATGCAGGGAGGTAGTGGTCAGCCACATGGCTCAGGCTCCAGAGTACCTGCTCCCTCATCGTGGCCCTGACTCCCCAAAGGAAGTGTTGGTTAACTGTGCCTTTTTTGAAAGATCAGGGGTTGCCTGCTGGGCACCCTGAGAGCTAGGGCCTTTAGTCCAGGCTGGAAAGGACCCTGACCCACATGAGCTGCTCTGGGCACCTCCAGAGCCAGCACCAGGGCACCTGCAGCCAGTGCCAGCCCAAGGGGCCCAGGCAGGAGGATGCTATAGGCTGTCTGGTCCCGGGCTGACCCTCAGCCCCTCCAGCCTGGCCACAGCCCCTCCTGCATCTAGAGAACTGGCAGGGCCCTGCTGGGAGCCAGGCCACCCACTTCTCTCAAGGCACTGCTGAGCTCCCCACCCTGAGCCTCTGGAGCCCAGGGAACATGGGGGGAAGGAGATGTCAGCCTCCGAGAGGCTACCTGGGGTTGTGAGCTGGACCACCCTCCTCTGGGGCCTCTGCCGTTTACAGCCCTGCAGCCCCCAACCCCATGGACATGGCCCCACTTATCTGCCTGATGTTTGTTTACGCGTCTCCTAGCAGCCAGTCCGGCACACAGTAGGTGCCCAGTAAACATCCGCTGCAGGAGTGGGCGGTGGGAGAAGGGCTTTGTCTCTGGCCCAGTGTGGGATTCAGGAGAAAGGCCCCCTGGCTTGTTTGTTTGCTGCTGGGCAGGCCCAATGGGCATGGCGACTTTCTTCTCTCCTCCCCCATCCCCTTGCGGAGCAGCACTTCCCAGAGATTGAAGGCAAAATTGCTTGAAAGCCTGTGCTTTTATCCTCCAATTTGTAGCCATTTAGCAGGGCTGGGCGGAGGGGCAGTGAGGGCTGCTGCAGAGAACGGAGAACGAGTCCTTTGTCCTCGCTTGGACAGCCCTGGGCTGGGGGCTCAGGCTGGGGCCTGTGGGGCCTGCGGGGTGGCCAGTGGCCAGTGTGCAGGCAGCATCAGCCTCCAGAGCTACCTGCCGGCTTCCCTGAGCTCTGGCCCCCACACGGTGGTGTCCACTGTCCCTGCACCACCTTCCCCTGCAGCCGCTCCAGCCTCTGCTCATGCAGCACCCAGCTCCCAGGGAGCCCCTTTCTCTGGTCATTAGGGAGGGGCCTGCCTAGACCAGAGGGTCCCCATGGTGCAGGGGAGTGTGAGGGCGGGTGCCAGCTGGAGGAGTCTCCCGGGCTCCTGGGAAATGAAGTGCAGTCACCTGGGGTGGCACGGAGTCTGCCGGAGGGCTGTCATCTTCATGTCTCCAGGCGGCTCTCTGACCTGCCTGTGCTGTCACTGTCTGCGTGGGGAGCGAAGTGTGGGCAGGGCCAGCTCCGTGGGGACAGAGGAGGAGCTACCTGTGAGGGGCAGGGAGGACCCTGTGGCTTCCCATCCGAGTCTGCATCTCCTGAGTCGGGCTGCCCTTGCCCCTTTCCTGGGCTAAAGCCGAGGTCTGCCGCCACCGGAGCCCAGGAATCATGCAGGTCCTTCTCCACTGTCACCCTGTCCTGCCTCCAGGCCTTTGGGCAGGACGCCTCCTTTCCCAGAGAAGTCTCCCCTCTCTCTGACCTCCCCCCTCCCCGCCCCTCCCTCAGCTCCAGCCCCAGGAGCAGGGAAGCTTCCCAGGTGGAAGTCATGGCCAAGAAAGATGAGAAGCTCATCCTGGGGGCAGGCAGGCTGGTGGGTGGGGCTTGGGGAATGAGTCCCCTGGGCACTGCTGGGCACCTGCCCCTTACTAAGATTAAGCCCTGTTGTGCCAGCCAGGCTGCTTTCTCCCCACTGCAGTCCCCCACTTAGAACACTGAAGCCAGGGGAGGGGCAGGCCTGGGTCTCACACCCAGAGTGACCTGGTGTCTCCCTAGCATCCCACTTCAGCCCACCCCCCACAAAGTCCTCAGGAATCAGCACCCATAAAAAAATACACTTTACTGTGGACCTCAGAGTCTACAGGGCCGCTGGACGGTCCCGGGGCGCAGAGCATGCAGGATGCCACGGTGCACGGAATGTGGTGAAGGGACCCTCCACTAGACACGGGCCTGGTCCCTCTGACTGCCCTGCAGGCCTCAGGGCCATCGGGGCAGAGCTGGCCCTTGGGCCCGTCAGCCCAGGAAACACTGATTGAGCAGAGGAAGTGGGTGGCAGCCTGCTGACAGCAGGTGTCCGGGCTCTGGCCACTCTCAGAGCCACCAGTCGGGCCCAGCACCCAGGCCGGGGGCAGGGTGGGCAGAAGCAGCTGGTGCAGCTCAGCCGGAAACAGCAGCACGAGGACAGGGCGTGGGAGCCCACACCTGCCAATCCTGCCCTGAGCTCCTCTGCAATCTTGTCTCTCTTGATTAAACATCCAAGGAACATCGAGTTCACAGATGTGTGCTCTTCTTCTTTGTCTTCCTGAAACACCCAGAATGGAAAAGCAGAGAACAGCAGCAAGCTGTTGGCACTTTGGGGACAGACAGAGTTGGAGGAAAGAGGGCTGCAGGAGTCGGGCCGGGCATAAGAAGGGGCAGGTGGCCGCAGGGCCAGTGGCCCGGGCTTGTCTGGAGCAGGGGAAGGTGTGCAGGTGTGCGCACATGCAGAGCAGACTGCGGGCAGGAAGCATGGAGCACACGCCACGCGCTTGCTTTGGGAAGAACACCACGCGGTAACAGTTGCCACACTGTCTGGGGAGGTTGGCATTGTGGCTGAGACCCCTAGATTGTCTCTCCTGGGGAAGTTAGGATTTGGGCTAGCCACTCACACTCCAGTTCAGGCAGCAGGGTCCTCAGCCAGCCCACCAAGCTGCCCCTATGGCAGGCAGGTGGTCTAAGAGAGGCCACACGGAAAAAGTGTGGGCCGAAGAGGAGGCGGCAGTGGCCCAGAAACCAGGGTGTGGGCAGAGGGGCCCTGGAGGGCCAGCTCACTTCCAGCAGTGCTCCAGAGAGCTGTGAGGCTGGACCTTGAGCTTGTGGGGGCACAGCAGCTTGGTGAAGGCCCGGCGAAAGCTGTAATGGCACAGCGGGTAGAGGACTGGGTTGACTGCCGAGTTGGCCCATAGTAGCCAGAAGGACGTCTCATACCAGTAGTCGGGGACGCAGTGGCCGTGGCAGGCAGCCCGGATGATCATGAGGAGGGTGTACGGGGCCCAGCAGAGTCCAAAGATGCTCACAATGATGGCCAGCGACTTGGCCACCTTCTTGTCCCGGGACAGCCGGAAGCGCTGGGTGAAGCCCTGGGACACCATCTTCATGCGCTTCTCCAGAGATGCGGAGGACGCCGAGGGCTTGGAGCCCCTCTTGAGCGAGCGAGGCCGCTCTGTGCCCCGCGAGGAGCTGCCTGAGCTGGAGGTGGGCGAGTCTGCGGTGCCCCCACCACTGCCCCCCAGGGCTGCCTCCCCTGCCTCAGTGCCAGGGGCCGCCTCGCCGATCCTGGGGCCATACCTGTGCAGTGGCATGGCCTCCCTGTGCCCCTTCTGCCAGCAGCCCCAGCAGCCAGGTGCGGCTGGCGGGGAGGGCTGGGCCTCCGGTGGGGGCTCCAGGCCAGTGGCCTCTCGGACCCCGTCCAGCCGGTCACGGGTGCGCTTCTGGATGTTCAGGTAGATGCTGAGGTTGAAGAAGGTGACGCTGAGGAAGGGCGTGAAGAACTCGAGCGTGGAGGCCGTGATGAGGAAGTACCAGTTGTAGAAGAACTCTGCGTAGCAGTGGCCCTCGGGGATGGAGCTGCTGCCCGACAGGTGCTCCCAGCTCAGGATGGCCGGCCCGTACAGCAGGAAGGCCAGCACCCACACCAGCGCCATCTTCCACACCGCCTGCCGCGTGTTGCCCTGCTGGGCCCGGTAAGAGACCTGTGGGGGACATGCTGGTCAGGCATCTTTGGATATCATCTCAGTCTTTAAACTCCCCATTGCTCTCCCACTTCCTCTCTGGATGGCTCAGGAGGGAGGGGCAGACCAGGTGGATGGGCTAAGGGGGAAAACTGGGGTTCAACCCAGGCCTACGGACCTCAAACCTGTGCTCTTTGCACTCTGTCCCATGCCCTTCTAGATAGGACACATGTGGCTCCTGAGCAGAGAGCCCCCGGGGTGCCCAATAAATCCACCAAGGAGAAGACATATGGGCAAGGAGACTTCAGCTCCAGTGCGCCAGCCTCAGTGCCCATGTGGTACTGTCATGGGAGCCCAGGTGGCCCAAGGCCCCAGCTAATGGTGGCCACTCACACCAAGGGGAACTGGTGGAGCCAGGACCTGATGCCTGTCTTCTTGGGATGCAGAGACACACAAACACACACACAGAGACATACACAGACACACACACATGGGGCAGAGGGGGGTGCCACCAAGGGCCTCTGGCTCAGATCCTCCCTCAGCTCCAAAGACTTTGCACCTGCCCCAGAAAGGGGGCTGAAGTGACCCCCTTCCTTCAGGAACATCTGATCCCGGGGTCAGGTGGTGCCTCCTGCCAACAAATGGCTACCAAGTGGGCAGCTGGCTGTACAGAGTGCCTGGCCTGCCAGATTTGAGGCAAGTGGGACCAACCTCACCTGGCTCTGCCTGCATCCCCTGCTGGTGCCTTCTGGGCCACTCCTGACCACTCCCCCCAAGAGAGCATGGGCACCTGCCTCCCAGACTCACAGCGCGGGTGACCGACAGGAACCGGTCATAGCTGATGAGCACGATGTTGAAGACGGAGGACGTGCAGAGTAGGTAGTCTACCACCAGCCACAGCTTGCAGAGGCCCCTGCCAAAGGGCCAGCGGCCGGTCAGCACATAGGGCACATACAGCGGGATGCAGAAGGCTCCTGTGGGAGAGCAGGGCCAGGGCTCAGAGCCAGACCAGGGTCTGTGGTCAGACCCTCCACAATGCAGACAGGCAGCACCTGTCAGTCGCCACCCTTCTTGGCAGCAGCCTCACGCACCCTCTGACCTGTCCACTCTGTCCATCCCTCCCAGCCCCAAAGAGAGGAAGAGGGATAATCTCCCTCCCTCTCGCCCCCTGGACCTCAGCCCCTATCCTGGCTTTGGACGGCCTTTCCTCTTCAGTTCAGAAACCAAGAAAGCCTTCTTCCCGATTCAGAGGGCACTCCGCCACTGCCACGCCACCGCTCCCGCCGCCCAGCCCCTCTCCCAGCGCCTGGCAGACGCACGCGCAGCCCCAACAGGTGTCTGGCGCTCCAGCCCCCTCCGCGCCGCTGCAGCCGCAGCAGCTCCCGGACACGTGAGAGCGCTCCCCGCCCCCTTCCCCATGCCCCCTCCCCCCGCACGGCTCTAACCCCATCCCGTGCCCCTCCCCCAAACCTTCCCCGGCGCCCGCCACAGTCCCAAGTCCCCCACAGCCTTTGTTTGCAGGAGCCGGCGCTGAGCCCGAGGCCGCTGCGCCTGGCGCCTCGAGCGCCCGCATGCCCGGCCCGTTCCCCAGACCCTCACCCCCGCCCCGCAGCGGGCGGCGAGGCCAGGAACTTCGCCGCGCCCATCGCCCTTCGCCCCGCGAGTCCCGGGCGCCCCCTCCCCGGGCCGGCCCGCCCGCCCCGCCCCCACCAGGGCGTGTGCCCGTACGAAAGGCGCCCAAGTCCGGCGCTCCGATCCCCGCCGCTCCAGGGCTCGGGCGGGGTGGGGGGTGGGGGCTTTACCCACGAGAAAGTCGGAGATGGCGAGATTGAGCAGAAAGAAGTTGTTCTGGGTGCGGAGGCTCGAGTCGGCCACGAAGGCGAGCATGACCAGCGCGTTGCCCAGCACCGTGGCCACGATGAGCAGCGCCATGAGCGCGGCCAGCACCGCGGTCCAGGCGGCGGAGAAGCCGCGCGCCCCGCCCGCCGCCGCCGTCGCCTCTCCAGCCAGAGCCCCCGACGCGTTCAGCGGCCCGTCGGGCGGCGGGCGCTCCATGGCCCTGCGGCTCACGCAGCGCCGGTGCTCGGGGCAGGGCGCGGACCGCCGGCGGGGCGGCCGGGAGGGGCCAGAGCCCTGGAGCCTGGGGTGAGAGGGCTTTCAACCCAGCCGGGGTCCCCGGGGGATGCCCGGCGCATGGTCCGCGGGCACAGAGGCCGGGCGGGCAGCGCCGAGGAGGTCCAGGCTGTACTCCAACCCGAACCGGGCCGGTGGCCCAACCGCAGCGGCCCGAGCAGAGCCGGAGCCCGAACCGCTGCCGAAGCGTCTGTGCGCCCCAAGTGCAGCGCGCCGCCAAGTGCGCCCCGTGCCCAGCCGCCGCCCCCAGCGCCCGGCGCCTGGCTCCGCGCCCGCCCCATTGGCTGCAGCCCGCGCCCCGCCCCCGCCCCGCCCCGCCCGGCGCCGGCAGCACCACGGACAGCGCCGCGTGCCCGCCAGCCGCCGGCCCAGCCTGGTGCGCACCGCCGCCGGCTGGGAGCCGGGCCAGGGCGCGAGAAGGGCGGGGCTGGGAGCCGGGCCAGGGTGCGAGAAGGGCCCAGCCTGGTGCGCACCACCGTGCTGCTCTGGAGCCGGGCTCTGGGCCGCTTGGCCTGCCCCGTGCCCTCCAACCGGCCTCATCAGGAGTCGGGAGCCGGATGCCTGAGGGGCCCTTGAGTAGGAGTAGGGGAAACACCTGCACCCTCGCGACCTCTCCTCCTTCATCCTTGGTGCCAGCGAGTCTGAGGGGAGGAACGTCTTAAAGAAAAAAAAAAGGAGGAACATCTGAGAGCTTGTGCTCTGGTCAGGGTCAGCCCCCAGCCCCCCATCTGCGTGGCACTCTGGGTCTCAGTCTCTCCGTGGTCAGGGCCCAGTGAGGCGGGCAGGGTGACCTACAAGGCTCAGGCAGATGGGGAGTTACATAAGGAGAGATGGGGAGCCAGTGGGCCCTGCCAGGAGGGGAGCTTGCCCACCAGGCGCTCAGGAGGGGCCCCACGTTGAGGGGGGAGTGTCCCGCAGCTTGGAGCCCACGGTCCCCCTGGCGGACAGCACCGTGAGGTGGCAGCACTGCATGGACAGAAGAGGTCACTGTGCTCGCTGGCACAATCAAGGCACCGGTAGCTGCAACTGGTGGGGGAGGAGAGGCAAGGGAGGGAATGCCCCTCCCTCCAGGGACGTTCAGATAGACAGGGTCAAGGACAGATTCAGCTGGAGACACTCACAGACAGACAGACATGCCCACACGCAGATACACAGACACCCACACCGGGGAAAATCACCCAGCATCAGTCTGGGGCCTCAGAAGGGCAGCTAGACAGACACTCACACGTCTGACAGTGACAGCAAGGGGAACAGGGCCTGAGGGGGGAGCAGGGCTCCTCCTGCAGCCACACCTCTGCGGGCCTGAGGACAGAAACGCAGTGTCCGTAGGTGGGTGAGGGATGGGAGACTGGGGCAGAGGCTGCAGGCCGGACCCCAGGCTCAGGCACTCCATCCTTACAGCAGTTTCCGGATCCTTCGGGAACTACCCCTCCCACTAGCCCCGAGAGGAACTTCAGAAACTTTGAGGAGTGGGGGCGGAGCTCCCTCTGCCCTCTCTCAGAGCCGGTGTTGGGAGGGGACCTGCACTCTCGCTGCAGCAGACCCACTATTCCACAGCTGCTTGCAGCGTGTGCTGGGCATGTGGGGCTCCAGCTCAGGCTCCCAGAAGCCTCGCTGAGTACCTGGCCATGCCCCTCCTTCCCACCAGCAGAGCCTGCTCCTCTTCCCAGCGCCCCCAGCTCTCCCTCACGGCACCCAAGGTGACTGGTGGACAGCTCTGTGCCAGGACCAGGCACTAATTGGTGGTGACACCAGCAAGGTGACGAGTTCCTGGAGTGGTCAGTGAGGGCTGCTGGACCCATCATCTCATCACCAAAGCCTTCCTGTGCCTTTGTGCTGGGCCAGGGCTCGCTGTCCATGCTCCCGTGGGATGGACTCCACCAGGCCCTGCTCTTCCCCAACCCTCCCGGGGCTGGCTCTGGCTAGAGAAGCTGATGCCCCCACCCCAGCCCAGCCTTGGGAGATGAAGTCAAATGGGGTTTCAGAGGGGGTTCTGGCTCTCCCACTCACTGGCTGGGACCCTCCTCCCCAGGCTCCGTGGAGGAGTATGTGTCGCTTACCATCCAGGATGGAGAGCCCATAAAGGGGGCGTCTGTGTAGTTGTTGGCTCCTTCAAAGCCTCAGTGACCCTGTGGCTACAAGTATTCTGGAGATTTCCCTGGTGGACTCACCCCACCGCAGCTGTGGTGGGGGATGGACTCAGTCAGACTCGGGGGTAGTCTTCCTCTGAGAGGCTGGGCCAGGGCTGGGCCAGTGGTTTGAGAATGGCCGTGGCCCATGTGGAGAGCACCATCATTACATGTATGATCTTATTAACCCCCTATTCACTCTATGAGGTTGGTAGGACCAGTGTGCCCTGTACAGAGCTGGACACCACTGCCCAAGGTCACACAAGGCCAGGCACCCCTCTCTTAATGGCCACCATCCTGGCCAATTCCTGAGGTCAAGGCCCCTGAGGCCAGCAAATGCACCAACCGTTGGGGCATAGGATGCCCAAGGAGTGGGCATCCAGCCCCAGATGGTGGGGAACCCTGGGAAAGGCTGGTTGAGGGCTGGGATAGAGGACAGACCCCAACTTTCCACTCACTCAGACCCCCAAACAGAGGGGCTCTGGTTTCTCCATTGTTGAAACAGTTGACATTTGGGGTGAAATATGTCCAGTCCAACAAGGAGGCCATGGGGGAAGTGCCCCATTCACACCAACCCTAGGCAACTAGCAAAACCAGTGCCTGCAAGTTCTCATGCAGGAGGAAGCACACCCGCTGACTGAGTGACCCTCCGTCCATCCATCCATCTATCTATCCACCCATCCACCCATCCACCCGCCCAGAGCTCTTACTGCCAGTCCTCAGCTCCCGGCTGTGCTGTGACAGAGGGTATGAAGTCATAAGTAGTGTGTGTGCAGCACTAACTGCGGGCTGGGAGGAAGGAAGCAAGGCCGGGGATGGAGAGCACAGCACAGACTCCCCTTCAAGAGACAGCCCGCCATGTGGGGTGAGGTGAGCTGGCAGCCCCTGGTGGCAATCTGGCCTTTAGGGTCTGCTGTTGAGCTGGAGCTGAGCAAAGGACACATCTTCCCAGTGGGTGGGACTTGAAGCTCCTGGTCATGCACCTTGTGTGGGCAGGAAAGTGGCGCAAGTGAGAATACCCACGCGTTCAGAGGCCTGGAGAGCTGGGCAGGGCGTGGAGGGACAAGGACCTGGTGGAGACAAGGGGTTTGGGGCCGGAGCCATGTGAGTGGACATGTGATTGTGGGCCCCAGCATGAAGGCCCTCATATCAAATGCAAACACCCACCAGAAAGCTTCCATCTGGAAGAGGCGGTGTAACAGGCCCCTGGCACCGACCACCCGGAACTGGCATGAGGTGGTCACGCTGGAAGCCCTGCTGGGGTGAGGAGTGTGGACTCCCACCTCCCCAGGTTGACCTGGCTACTGCCCCCTCTGAATGTCCACCCCACCAACCACAGCCAGGCCGAGCCCCCACGGTGGCATGTTTTCCAGGAGAAGAAACTACCACCTGGTGGCGAGTTGACCACATTGAGCCCTTCCTCACATACCTGCTCAGGTGTGGGCCTGACCCTCTCTGCCCACGAGGCTGCCCCAGCGTCCAGGTGTGGAACCCCCGACCTGGGGCCACTTCCCAGACAAGGATGCACTGGTTGCACTGCCTGGCACACGTCCTGGAGCCCATGCTTCACAGGTCACGGCACAGGGGCAGCAGTTTAACAGGAAGTACAAGCGTCTCATCTCCAACAAGGAGGGCTAAGCACCTGGGGCCGAGGTGGAGGTGGGCCTGGGCCCACTGGCCCCTCCCAGTGACCCACTGGGGAAATTGTGCCTCCACCCTCTGGGCTCTGCAGGGTTAGAGGTCCCTTCCCCAAGGGGTGCACGCTGGCCTGGGCACATGGTGTCTTTTGCAGCTGACGTATGAGAGGTATGGGAGACATCAAGGCTGACTACAGGGTTTTGGCTCAGGCATCTCTGAGGATGGTGTTGACAGGAATGAGCGGGGAGTCTGTGGGTGGTGCAGGCTGAGGGATGGTGCAGTGCTCTGACTGAAGTGTGTCCAGCTTGATGCTGGTTGGACATTCTGGTGGGGAAGTTGTTAGCCCCCCGGTCCAGTCCCGGGCCTGGAATCAGAGCTTGGGCCCGCAGCTCTGGGACCAGGGGCAGGGGGCTCTGCACTGGAGACACAAAGTTGGGGTCACCAGTGTCAGGCCAGCAAAACACTGTCCCACGCGTCCTGTGCTTCTGCACATCCTGAATGTCCGGCGCTGTCATGGGCAGCAGGCTGTGCTCCACGCTCTCACTGCGCTGGAAGCTTTCTCCCCAACCAGCTGCCGCCACAGTGCTCTGCCCTCTGCGTGGGGACATGGTCCACTAATGAGAGGAGCCAGGAGGCCGAGCCAGCTGCCGGCAATGGTCCTGCCAGCATGGCCAGGGTCAGCGCTGTGACCACTCTGAAGGAACCGATGTTTGCTTTCTCCTTCTGTGGCAGCTCATTTAAATATGGAAATGCAGATTTTTCTTTTTTTGTCCCTTGTCTTTTTTCCCCCTAGTGACATTCTGAGCCAGCTATGGGTGCAGCCTGATGAGCTCAGAGTTCAGGTGTGATCAGAATGGCTCCTGATGCCACAGATTTGAAATAAAAGCCAAGTCTGATTTCCCTGCCTTGAGGGTCAGGGCTCAATTGGGCCCAGGCCTCGTTGGCAGGAAGGAGAGAGAGGACAGGAGAACCAGGGGCACAGTTGCCATGGTTTGGCCACAATTCAGAGAGGCTTCAGGAAGGGAGTGTTTCTTGTTTGCTGTCCACGGCGGGAACATCAGGAAATGGGCTTCAGGCACAGCTGCATCCAGGAGCTCCCATCTGTCTTTCCCATGTTCACCTCCTTCCCAGCAGGGACTTTCTCCCTGCGATCTCTCCCTGCAGCTCCATTGCTCTCCCAACTTTTCCTTCACTCCCCAGGAAGCCCTGCTCAAACAATCCTGGTGGCTGGCTTGCACATGTAGCAGTGTGGGTCTTAGGTGGTCACTCAGTGTCATTTAACCACCCTGTGGATGGAGGGGAGGCTGTCCGTCAGGTGGAGCCACAGTTCTCCCAGCAGCTGCCCTGGGGGTCCTGTGAGGGGCCTCTGTCTGCCCTTCCCCCAACAGTGTCTTTGCTGGCAGTGCTGAGGAGCCTGGGCACTGGGCCTGGGCCCTGAGAGCTCTAGAGGAGACCCCCAGGGGAGGCCCAAACTCCCTGCCCTCAGCCTTGGTTGGGTGGTGGCCCAGCCATT